TGACAACATGCCTCATCCTGCATCTCCGTACCAAGAGGAGAGAGGTATGCTTCACTGTCAATCATCTGAAATCAAGACTGGTCCTTTTCACCCTTTTTCCGTTCCATCACTCTACTCACTCTAAAATTCCTTCTGGCTCTTAGACTCTACGATTCTAGGACAGGTATGTTCCCCAGCACAGCCAATTGACAGACTCTGACCTGCTTGTGGGGGGCTATCTAAAGGCCCCATGGGCCTCCATAGGAACCCCAGCCTGAAGGCACCAACTATTGAGAACAAACATAACCCCATTTACTATTTGTGCTTGATCTTCAGGGCAGTTAAGGAGATTATTAGCTTGAGCATTTCAATCTGTAAAGAGATTTTCTCAGCGGAGTGTAAACAAAGAAAAGGTCTTAAAGGCATCACTAGCTATGGTAGTCCTTTCTTTGAATACTTTGTTATTTGGTCTGTTAGTATTACAGAAAAGTCTAATCCCTAAAGACTCTTGGGAAAATAAAATGGAAATCAAATTTTTATGCTTGGTCCCTTATGCCAGGGACCAAGGGTTAAAATAGGGGGGAAGAATCCGAATGTTGCCTGAAACTTGCCCTTCAGGAGAAGCTGCTGCACCACTGTAGCCTGGGAAAGAAGCCAGCAGGTGCAGCTGGGCAGGGCCCAATACAGGAGCTGGCCTTCAATTTAACTTCATCCAGCCCCGGGTAGATCTGAGGTCAGAGGGAGCCCATTCAAAGAGAAGTTCTGAAGGAAATCAAGGCACTGTGAACAAACCATAGTTAATACATACATTCCAGAAGTCTGAAAAAAAAATAGAAATAGAAAATGTTTAGTTCACTGTCCAACAAATAGTAATTGCATTTCACATCTAATAAAAGGAAAGGGGGTGGCAAGCAGAGGCGGGGTATGGAGCCATGGAAGAGAGTGGTGAAACTGCACAGCAGGAGCTGAGATTCCCTCAGGATACTTCCAGTCCTACCAGGACTACGGAGACAGTGAGGGTGAGGTGGGAGAGAGTTGCTTTGGATTTCGGATGGTGTTACAGTAGCCAGAATACCAAATGATGCAATTGATGTAAAGTACTTTGCAAACCTTAAATCAATACATAATTGTTATACAGAATAATAATGTAATTATATTAATAGACACATGTGTACATATGTGTGCATATATGTACATGTGTATGTGTGTACATGCATACACACACAGGAAGAATGGGTTATTTGGAATCAGAGGACCCAGGTTTGAATCCTGATTCTGTAATTTATTACTTGTGGTTCCTGGAGCAGATCGCTTAACTCCTCTAGGTGTCAGTTATGGGTAGGGACTAGACCTGGGATTTCATTTTTTTTTTTTTTTGGTGAGGCAATTGGGGTTAAGTGACTTGCCTAGGGTCACACAGCTAGTAAGTGTCAAGTGTCTGATCTGAGACTGGATTTGAACTCAGGTCCTTGTGACTCCAAGGCCAGTGCTCTATCCACTGTGCCACCTAGTTGCCCCCTGGGATTTCATTTATATAGAGAACTACCAGATGAGGAAGTTTCCTCTATCAAAGCAAGTCAGTACCTTTTCTCCACCCCATAGCCTTAGAGCATCTCCCATTTTAGAAGACTAGCCTAGAGCACTCAGAAGTTAAGGGATATGCCAAGTGTCTCAGACAGGATGTGCCAGAGGCAGCACTGGCACCCAAGGCATAGATTCACGGATATAGAATGGCAAGGGTTGTTAGAAGTCATTTAGTCCACTTCCTCACTTTACAGATGAGGGAACCGAGACCTAGAGATGTTAAATGACTTTCTCCATGTCCTACAAGTAGTAAATGGCAGAGCTAGGGTTCAAACCAGGTCCTCCGATTCCAAATAATGCTTTCTTCCTACTGTACCATGATGCCAAGCTGACCTGAGGTCTCCCTTCTATTCTCTCATGTATCATTATCATTATTATCACTACTACTTAAGAGAAGTAGATCCATTAAGGTCACTTCTAATTCTTAAATATGGTGGTTCTATGAAACTAATAGTAGTGTTCATTGGATCATGGACGTCTAGGTGGTACAGTGGATAGAGTGCCAGGCCTGCAGTCAAGAAGACTCGTCTTCCTGAGTACAAATCTGTTCTCAGACACTTACTAGCTGTGTGACCCTGAACAAGTCACTTAACCCTGTTTGCCTCAGTTCCTCATTTGTAAAATGAGCTGGAGAAGGAAATGGCAAACCACTCCCGTATCTTTACCAACCTATCAGTTATCCAACATTCTCATTGTGATTGGCTTTCATTCCTTTTCTGGTCATGCTTCTTCAATGAGATCCTTTATGCCCTTTCTGTGTAGTTCACTGGTAAACATGTGCTCATCATGTATTTTTCTTAAGGGTGACCTGCAACTTTAATTCTTCAAGAATTGCAGTACTCAACTCAACCATTTTATAGAGCAATTTGGAACTATGCCCAAAGGCATATATATATGCATGTATATATACATACATACATATATATAACTATAAAACCATGCATACCCTTTGACCTAGCAATACCACCACTAGATCTGTATCCCAAAAGAGATAAAAAACAAAAAGGACCTACATGTACAAAAACATTTATAGCAGCTCTTTTCTGGGGGCAAAGAATTAGAAAATTGAGGGGATGCCCATCAATCAAGGAATGGCTGAATAAATCATAGTATGTGATTATGATGGAATGCTATTGTGCTATAAGAAACGATGAGCAGGATGCTCTCAGAAAAACGTGGAAAGACTTAACACGAGCTGATGCAAAGTGAAATACACTATGTACAAAGTAACAGCAACACTGTAAGATGATCAGCTGTGAATGACTTAGCTATTCTCAGCAATACAATGATCCAAGACAACTCCAAAGAACTTATGATAAAAAATGCTACCCATCCACAAAGAACTGATGGTGTCTGAATACAGATTGAAACATAGTTTTTTTCCCTTGGGTTTCATCTTTTTTGGTCTATGTTTTCTTTTACAACATAACTATTAATGGAAATATTTTGCATGACCACCCATGTATAATCCATATTGAATACTTGCTTCCTCAGTGATGGGGGAGTGGGAGGGAGGAAGGGAGAGAATTTGGAAGGCAAAGTTTTAAAAATGAATGTTAAAAATTGCTTTTACATGTAACTGGGGAAAAATAAAATACTAAATAAATAAATTTTTAAAAAAAGAATTGCAGTACTCTATAACTTGTAACTGTGTGGCATCACTCAAAGAATATAGAGAAGGTTGGTGTAAATTAACAACACTGTCCAATTTCCCAAAGTTGTTTTTCTCCTCCTATTCAGTTCTGGGTCCAATTTATTATCCATCTGCAGTATCTCTATGATTGTCCATCTAACCACATGGAACATGGGCAATAATCACTCTTCAGTCAATTTTTTTTTTGTTTTTCCAGTGTGCTTGGTAAGGCCAAACTTTTTTGAATAACTTTAAGAGATGATTCTGTTATATTCTGGAGCTTAAGCCATCAACACAATGTCATCCACTAATGGGAGTATCTGGAGAATCTTACCATCTAGAGAATTTCTCTTCAACTTACACTTTGCCCTAGATATTCTTTATGACTGTGGCAAACATCTTTGGCAAGAATATCTTGTTTTATTACTCTTGATATTAACAATCAGGGGGCCATATGCTCATAAATCTTAAATTTTAAAAATTAAATTTCCATCCACTGTGGTGAAAAGTATCTTGGTCAACAAGTAGAATTGACTGAATTTTCCAATTAATAGATTAAATGATTTATCTAGCAAACCAATCAAAAAACAGTAATTTTACTAAGTGCCTACAGTGTGCCTGGTACTATGCTAGGTGCCTGAGATAAAAAGAAAAAATCCCTTTTCTCTAGGGCCTTACATTCTAATGGGGGAGACAACGTGTGTGAATATACAGAGTGAAAACACAAAACTATACAAGGTAGATACCAGGTAATTAAAGAGAACACTAATATTACCAAGAGTAAAGATGACCTTGTATTAATGCAAGGACCTATTCCTCTGAACTTTCACTCATGTGCACAACTGTTCCATCAAATTTTTCAATGACTTTTTCTTAAGCTTCAATATTTTATCAACTATAAATCTTCAATCTAATAAACAAAGCATCCACCTCAATCCAAGCATTTAGAAAGAAGACTCATAACTACAAACTCCACTTTCTTTAAGGTAACTTCAGGCATGTAAAACAAACCTAATGGGATAAAATAGTATTTCTTCCAAATTTTGCACAGATAGAAAGCAAAAAGCTTCAAAGTCAATAAAAAATAAACATTTGAAAACAAAGCTTTATTTAAAATGTAGTTGTTAAAGTAATCTAATATAAAGAAGCAGTATATAAAACCATAAACCTCAAGTTGTCTCCTATACTAGTAAGGCATAAAGTAATCTTGGAGAGTCAATACATTTCTTAAAATATCACAGACCGAAACACCAATTAGACTAAAAACACAAACTTGGAAAGTAAAAAACTTCCAATGTGTTTAAGAAGTGATAGGTAAGTGACTAAGTATAGAATCCTTATGGTTTGTCTGTTTGTTTTTAAATAAACGGGCCCCTTATTGAATGGATTAAGTACATAATCCCATCTGGTTCCCTCTGCTTGGCATAGATTCTACCAGCCTGATGACCACAGGTTTCTCCACAACTTTTCCATGACCCATGATGGCTATTATTAAGACAAATTCATGCCATAAACTGAATTTTGAAGCTCTTTTTCTTCTTTTATTTGAAAGTTTAGATCTTTGGGTTTTCTGGGTGCTGACTCTCCATTGCTTTTGTTATTAACTTGTAGGTTCCCCATAGTGTCTTTCCTCTTATATGAAGACTTCCCTCATCCAGGTACCAGTTAACTGGCTTATTTTACTCTGTATGTTCAATATGATCTGGACAACAGATCGTCCAATTTAGGAAAACCAAATAGAAAACAGCACCTTTTAAAAAGCTCAAAGTGCTTTAATAAGTTTAGAATAACGTAATGGAGCCAATTGTTGAACAAGTATTTATTAGGTGACTAATAGGTGCAAAGCACTTGTGATTATTATTCTCCCTACTTTACAGATGCAAAAACTGAAACGTTTTTTGTCCAAGGATGTACAACTGTAACTGGTTAAGTGTTGTAGTCGATGACTTAGCCCACTGTGTATTTATTAGATGCCACTACGTCACGCACATATGTAGAATACAGACAAAATTAGTGTGTTGAAGTTTGGCTTTACTTTATAAAAATACATAACTTAAAGGCAAATAACAATCTCCATTCAAGACATAAACACCTGCTAGATTAAATATTTTTAGGTATTTCATTTCAACAAAAAGAAAAATAGGTAAACTCAACCTAAAGGTTATGCATGACATTCACATTTCAAGAGGGAACAATACCAGAAGGATAGTCATCACAGAAAATGCTATGACTTATTGGAACATGTCCATTGTCCAAAAGAAATAATTTTTATCAATATGGCCTTTATTTGCATGGCTTGAAATTGCAGTTTGGTTTGCTGGAAAAATTTGATTCATGAAACATCAGAAACATGACCTCTTTCCCTCTAAAGTAAGCATCTCTAAATTGGTTTCAAAACAAAACATTAAACTTCTATGAAGTATGAGCTATGCTTTCAAATTCCTATATTTTCCTTTTCAGAAAACTGGTAATGAAAGGCTTCTTGCTAGATCCTGTCTGGCTGAGAGTTCAATATATGATATACTCTGTTTGACAATGTTGACAATGATACTGAAATGGAGAAATACTGATAGTTGAATTACAGTCAGAATATCAAGTCAAAAAGAATATAAATGTTAAGGTATTTAGGTATGTTGTTAGATTAATGCAACATCTCTCTTGAGCTTTGTAAACAACTGCTAAAATATTATATCCTTATGACCTAAGAAGGGATGATTTGTTTTCCAATAATAACTGCATTAAATTATTACTTTTATCCTTATCCTCTATGAAAGACATCAAGTCCTCTGAAAGAAACTCAACTGGCTCAGAACTCTTACCAGGTTGAACTAGTGTATACATATTTTCAACAGGAGGTTGTTAGATTTATACTTGGAGGTCTGCAGGTTTTCCTAATAGAAAAATAGTTTAATAGCCAGTACTTGCCAAACTATTATTTCATAGTAAAACATGCTCTGTTGTTCCTTCAAATCCTGCTGAAGGATCACAGTAGTAACTGCCAAGATCCTGAGCTTAATGAAACAAAAAACTCCAAAACATAAAAGGGCACAGAATTTCAGTATGTAGCAGCTACATTTCTGAAGTTGCTAATTGTGGAAAACAAAGACTTACAAGACCTATGGCTCAAGATTGAGTTTTAAATTTCAATGAGCCACATTTGCATTGGAAAGGTAACAGCTGAAATGCTCACTGGAGTTCTACCTGCCATATTTAATCACTCATGCATTGAAGCTGGGGTAAAGTGACCCATCTATTATTATATCAGAAATGGTTGGTAATTTTGCTATTTATATTGCATCAAAGAATTCAGTATGCTCTATATACATGGCAACTGGCGAATGACAGTACTAGAAGACTCCCTTATTCATCTGATTTTAGTTCTTTTTACAAATTCCAACACTACATTTATTTAAATATGATAAAGACATATAAAGCGCATGCCAGGCCCACAAGTACTCTAATTTGGCTAAGGGCCTGTTACATAGTTATACTATGTCAGTGACAAATATCTGTAGCTCAGTGAGGTGAGGCTAGCTACAGGGCTAAAGGAAAACCTCACACAAGCAAGTTATTTTAAAAGTGCTGAGACTCTCAAACTGGGACTGAGGAGTCTGTAATAAAATCTAACCCTAGCTACCTGAAAACATATCCAATCATATCAGACCCATAATTGTGGGAGGAAAAAAGTAAAAATAATCTTTAAAGCATCACTGAGATAATGACATTAGAGGTTGGGAGTGATGCTTTGGGTTAACTAAAAACAGAGCAAAATGCAGCCTGACTGTAGCAGCATGAAAATATGGTAGCTTTAAGACAGATGATGCTGCTAGGCTCTGACAACTTGGTCTGTCTTTCCCCTTAGTTTGTAAAGTAATTTCTTCTTGGCAAGTCTAAAGGACCAACTATTTAAGCTTTCTGTATAATACATGTGTCTATAAACTGCAAAGGCCCAGTTAAACCATTTTTTTTAACAGCCAAAGAATATGAGGCATACTCATAAAGTAATCAGATTACATAAAATTCTATGTGAAAATCTTTATTACTTTGTAGCAGTACTTTGTATGATGAGGGGGATGCTATGGTGGCGAACAAAATGGTACTCCTCTAGGCAAAATTAATGTTTATTTACTGTTTTTGAATAAATATTGCTATATAAAAACTTAAGTCCAAGAAAAAAATGTCAAAAAGCACTTCCCTCTTCTCTCCTAACCAGACACAAGAATCTCTTTTCCATTATCATCTCAACATTCTATATCAACCTAACCATTACCTAACCAATCTAACCATTCAGACTGGTTAAATTGGTTTGGATAGCATGCCTAAACTAGAGGATGGAGAATATAGCAACTAGAAATAAACAGAAATAAACAGAGAAGAGAGAATGATGGTGGTAGCTGAAGAGAAAAGGAGAGCTGTCATGGGAAGAGGAGAGGAGGGGTAGAGGGAGAAGAATTTAAGGATGCTTGCTTGCCCTTTCCCTTTTCCACCCATTTATGGAGGAAAACCTTTCAGGCTTAGTTGGGTGTTTTCCCCAAAGGGTCAGAGGACATGCCCTGGGCAAGGCCGGTCTCTCCTGTTTAGAGATGTTGCTGCTACAAGGATTTAGATGTGTGCCTGCTTTTCCATTATCTCTGGCCTCTGGTTTGATCCCTGAACAACCAACCCCATGATACTTTCCACTGGTATTAACTAACACTGACCAAGAGATGACGTCAGTAACTATGCTGGAACAGGCAGCTGTTGGCATTCCGAGAAGTCAACCCGTCCTGGAAGGATAGGATTTCTTCCCCTATTGAGTGGCTGGACATATTGAAGGGATGCGGGCTCATAAGGATAGAGCTGCCTTATTTCAGAAGCAAATCAGCCCATTTCAGTGAAACCAAAGAGACAGATGGAATTCATTAATTCTAAAATGGCAGTTGAAATACCACTCAGAATTCCTAAACATTCTTTTACTTTAAGAGTAAAAACAAAGAAATTCTTTTATGATGTCATATCATGAGAGAATGTTCTATTCCCTGCTTTCATTCGTGATTTATTACTTAGGTGATGAACCAAAGTAAAATATAATTGAGAGGTGACTCTCACCCCCTGGAAGCCTCACCTGAGTGAAATGTCTATGACATGACACTACTACCATGCTTATAAATAAAGAGAAGAGAGTTATCAGACTGTTTAAAAATGGGCAAATAAAAATGAGTGATATGAATCACAGCTCTTCACACCTGAAAACAACAGCACATTTTTCCTTCAAAAAATAAAAAAAAAAATAGTGATGAGAATCTGAAATTGTGTATACACAAAAAGACAGAGCAAAAAGCCTTGGTGAGGTCTCAATTGTTTTTCTCTTCAGGGAATGGAATTCTCTAACGATGACAAATACTTGTCTGTTTCCTGCTGCATTCTAGGTTATTTGATGTTTTTCAGGAGGGCTGTCCGGGCATTCACAACTGCCTTGAAGGCATCTTCACTGCCTGGAGCCACACACTTGTCAGGGTGGAGAAGCACTGCAAGTTTCCGGTAAGCTTTATTCACCTCATCCCTGGGGGAAAAGAAGATAGTTATTTGTTATTAACATGGTGAGCCTTCAATCATTTTATTTTGACTTCCAATAATATTTCTTTCAGATATATTATTTAATTTAAATCATTATCCTGGGTGAAAATAATTTAAAAAAACTCAAATAGGTAGTACAAAGTAAAACAAAAATAATTTCATAATAAAAACCATGTATTGTGATAGTTGGGATGCAGAGTGAGGCAGAAAGGACTAGGAGTAAGAAGACTTGTGTTTGAGACCTGGACTTGCCACAAACTCACTGTGTGCCTCTGGGAGAAATACTTAATCTTTCTGGGCATTAATTTACTTGTATAAAAAAATAAGAGAGTTAATCAAGGAAGGCTTTGTGGAGCTGGATTCTGAAGGAAGTGAAGTTTATGGATTAGTAAAATGGTAGGGATTTTGCATTTCACTTAGGTTAATAGTAAGTACAAATGTACAGAGGCTAGAATGTATAGATTGTGGGATAGTTCATGCAGGTCTGTGCTGAGAAGCAATAAGAAGTAACGTTGCTCTGCAGAGGAAGAACGAGGGGTAGGCAAAGTAGACAGCACCCCAGGGTAAAACGTGCAGGGCTGCAGTGAGAAATTCTTCTGAAGGGAATTTTGTACAGCTGAGCACATTTCTAATGCCTGATAATTTCATTCTTCTCTGCACAGAGGCCTTCATTTGTGGAAGACCAGACCACATGCTGCAGTGAAGGCTCAAAAGTCAGAGTCTGAAGACTAAGACTGTGAGGTGAAGACAGAGTAGACCCTGCTCTGAACCACCTCTGCCCACAAGAGGCAGAGGATTCTACAGCAGTCATCAAAGCACCAAGGATGCAACGACAGACTGAGCCAAACACATGGAGTTTTCCAGCATTCTCTACATTACGGTTACTGACCTACTTTCTCCCAGCCTCTGAGATTTTGGTGATGTAAAGACATATTGATACTCACTTGGCCTAGTCTTCTGATTTATGCCTCCTCTCCCCCCAACTCAGAACTTCCTTCATCTACCCTGGGAGATAACCCTTCTCTCATGCTGGTGTTTGCCTAATTGTTAGCACATTTTCACAGTGTAGTATAGTAGAGAGCATCATAGACTCAGGAAAGACTTAGGTTCAGATCTCATCTTTACCATTTATTAGCTGTGTGGGACCATAAGCAAGTCACTTAACCTCTCTGAGTGTCAGTTTTCTCCTCTGTGAAATGGGGATAATAATCTTGCAAATTTACCTAATAGGATGATTATGAGGAAAGTACTTCGTAAATGTTACAGCATGATACAAATGTGAGCTCCCACTGGAGGCTGTGACCTAGCTCCAGAGAGCACCAGCACCCCCCGGAGGCTTCTCTTAGTTGGCAGAGGACTTACTTGGGTCCTGGGTTCAGTTCAAGTTGTACAAGGACCTCCACCATCAGGGACTCTGCACAGCCTCAGTCAAGGTGGTCTTGGTCGTGTCTTGCACAGTGAGGCAGACCGTCCACTGAATCACCTCCTACCTTATTGAAAATAGCTCCTTATTGAACAATGTGTATGGGTAAGGGTTTCTTTCAGGAGCTGGAAGGGACTTCTGACATTCCTCTAAGGATGAAAATTGCTCACCAGATGATATGCTAAACAAGTTAATGTATATAAAGTGCTTCGCAAACCTTAAGGTACTATATAAATGCTAATTATTATTCCCTTTTATTATATGCCAGCTCCCGTAAGGACAAAGGACCATGAAAGAATATGCCAGTTCCTTCTGTTCCCTAAGTTAGAACTGGAGATGGAACACTTATGATCTAGGGGATTAGTTCCTGAAGTGCTCAGCTACGCCCACATGCACTGAATGAGTCCAGGCAGATGTGGGTACTAATCAATATGTCTACACTTATTTGATAATATCTGACATCAGGTTCCACACTGTTATGGCAAAGGTAGTCACATGATGAGGGTAAAGGGTACACTTAAAGGTCTCACGTCCAACCTAACCTTGTTGTATGGAAACCTATCCTGGTAGGGAGTGAAACACGGACTAACCTGCCACCATGGATATGACTCCACAGCTCGAGAGGCTAATATCATCACATGTTTCATAGTCTACCTATTTTTGACTGTTGAGTTTGAACTGATGGGCCCACAGGCATTGTGAGTCTGAGCTTTGGTGGAATCTGGAAGCTTCTGCCAACTTTATGGACTTGTTCCTGGTCCAGAGATCTGTATTAGCCCACTCTTTTAAAATGATGAGTGGACACTCACTACAGTTTGAGCCTTTGACCCAGGAGACTAAATAGATCTATTTGGATCTAAATAGAAACCATGTTCAGGTCAGCCAAAATATAACTCATCAAAATAATTTCTAGTAGTACTAGGGATCAACTGGCTGGGAAAGAAGACTGAGAAGTCAAATGAATAAGACAACCAGAAAGAGGAGTGTTTTGGAAGTTAAGGGAGGAGAAAATGTCCGGGAGCAGGGAGTGGTTAACAGTATAAAAAGGAGCAGTAAACTCAACCAAGGGGGAAAAAAAACACATTTAGCTGCCAATAAATTGATGGTGTTGGTAAGTGTGGAGATAATTGCAGTTGAATGGCAGGGTTGGAAGCTAGTTGGCAAGGAGTTGAAGAATAAGAGGAGAACAACTGGAGGCAATGAGTATGATTGCCTTTACCTATGAGTTTGGCTGTGAAAGGAAGAAGCGATATAGGATGTTAGCTTGAGGGACAGGAGGATAAAGTAAAAGTTTTTTTCAAAATAAGGGTGAGGTTGGCATATTTGTAGGTCACAGGGAAGGAACCAAGAGATAAAGAGACATGGAAGATGAGAAAGGAAATCACTCAATGGGCAAGCTCTCAGAAATATGATGGGATGAGATCAAGCACACAAAGTAGAAGGGTTGGCCTTGGCAAGGAGAAGGGTCACCTACTCCTCAGAGACTATGGCAAAAGAGAAGGGGATACCATGTAGAGGGGTGTGGATATACAGTGTTGCGAAGGGAACTCAATTTTCTCAATAAGCAGGTGGTAAAGTCCAGCTAAGAATACAGGGATAGGGGTAAAATAGAGAGCATGAGACTGACAAGAAGAATTAAAATAGCTACTTCAGGAAGCATTACAGAAATCTGAATAGGACAGAAAAAAGGATTGTTGTGCAGCAGTTGAGACCAGATCACATAACTCTGTAGTGGCTTGTGACATTTTCCATTGACAATAAGCAGCACACAAGTCAAAGATGAGAAGACAGGTAGTGAAGATAACCCAGAGTTCAGATTTAGCAAGGCATAAGTGGCATGAGGACAAGGGGGTAAGGGATTTAAGGGGAGAAGCCCCTGAATAATCAAATTGGTCAACTATAGGGTCAAGTATTTGAAAGGAGGAAAGTGAAGCCAGAGAAGAATTGATAGAGAGGGAGACCAGGGCAAAGTGGAAATGCAGGAGGTCATGGTGACAATGAAGAGTAGGTTTAGGCAGAGTAAGGCACAAGTAGAGACGAAAGGGTAAGAGGTTATGACTAGAGACAGAAATTTCAGAGTTCCAAATTGTGGAAGTATCACAGTTCTAGGGGGAAAAGAAGTTTATGGTATGACCATCCCCATGGAAGGCTGAGGTAAAGGGAAGATATGACATGGAAGCTGAGGAGGTTGATGAACTGGAAGCCAAAGTTTTGAGAAAATATCATCATATATGTATACCAAAGTTTCCACATTTGAGGAAAAGGCTGGGGCATAGGAGAAGACTATGACCAAGGAACTAAAGAAAGGATGGAGGGTGGCCTGGAGATTGGTAGACCATAGGATCACAAATTTAGAACCACAAAGGATCTAAAAGGCCACCTCGTCCAACCTCCTCATTTTACATCTGTGGAAAAAGAGGCCTGGCAAGATTAAGTAACATGTCCAAGGTCACACAGTTAGGCAGGGCAGAACCTAGGCCCTCTGATTCCAGGGTAAGTACTGTTCCTGTGACTTAGCAGCACATAGCACAGTGCCTGGCACACAGTAGGCACTTAATAAATGTTAGCTGGCTGACTATAACAAAGATCTAGACAGAATGAACTGCACAGAAGGAGTGCTTGCTGTGAGAAGGAAGTTTTTGACTTGGCAAATACTGCTCCTGAATCACAGGGATGGGGGCAAGGGCAGGGGAGTTTTTGCTGCATAAACTGGGTGAAGTACTAGACAAACCTATGATTATGTGACTAGGGCTTCCAGTCTCTAGGGTCCTATGATGACAGGGGTAGGGAAATGGGGAAGAGAAATGATGTCCATCTGTTCCTTCCACAAACACCAAGAAAGAAGATAATAGGCCTGCAGGTAGACCAGATTAGACATCTGGATCAGTAAATAACTATTGATATGGTTAGGGACCTAAATGAATTCACATTTGACACTAATTCCTTTGTCTCACTGACCAATGGCAAGCTATAATGCACACCCAGGAGATACCTTGGAATTGGAACATTAACTAGGCTCCTGGAAGGGCCTGGTCTCTAAGTCTCTGGTCCTAAGCAAGATCTGGTAGTGAGAAGCCTGGTGTCTGGATATTTAACTGTATTTATAGAGGGTTACAGCTAAGCAGAGAGATGTGGGTAGTACCTCCACATATAATAGCAGGTTTTGTGACAAGAAGGCCATCACAGGCAGGTAGGAGAATAAAAAGGGTAGTGTCATGAAAACCCAGAGAGTAACCAGGAAGAGACGGTGAACAACAATGACAAATGCTGCACAGAGATCATGAAGATGAGGACTGAGAAAAAGTCAACAGATTTTGGTAATTAAGACAGTAACAGTAACTTTGGAGAGAGAAATTTCTGCTGAGTAACGAGGTCATAAATTAGATGACAAGAGAATGAGAAGTCAGAAGAGGAAAAGTGAAGGCAACGAACACAGACATGCCATAAAGGGACAAACGGATAGAACTAAGCAGGTTTTGCCTTTGCCTAGAAAACAGAAGGCTTAGGAGGCAGAGGATATTTCTATTCTAGTATTTGAAAGACCACTATGTAGAAGAGTGATTTGATTTTTTTCTGCTTGGCTTTGGAGGGCAGAACTAGAAACAAAGGCTCTAAATTACAGGGAGGAAGATGTAGTTAGTCTTGATATAAAGAAAAACTTCAAGGCAGCGAGGTGGCACAGCAGATAACAGTGCTGAGCCTGAAGTCGGGAAAACTTATCTTCCTGAGCTCAAATCTGGCTTCAGGCTCTTCCTAACTGTGTGACCCTGGGCAAGTCACTTAACCTTGTTTGCCTTAGTTTCCTCATCTGTAAAATGAGCTGGAGAAAGAAATGGCAAATCATTCCAGTCTCATTGCCAAAAAAACCCCCAAAAGGGGTCACAATGAGTCAGGCACAACTAAAACAACTGAACAACAACAAAGAAAAACTTCCTCACCATTAGAGCTGGAAACAGCCTCCTTGGGAAAGAATGGGTTCCCTTTAAACAGAAACCTGGACCAGAGGCTGGACAATCACTGGTGGGGGAATGATGGTTAGATGTGGATTAGACTACATGGCCTCTCACATCCCTTCTAACTTAGATTCGGTGCTTAATGTTTAATTAGGATTTTCCTATCAATTTGACCAATAGGTAATACTGGGAAGAAATGTGGCAGAGTGGATAGAGAGCAAACCTCAGAGGAAGAAAAGACCTGGGTTCAAATTTCACCTCTGACGGTCTGTGTGAACCAGGGGAGCAAATCCCTGACAGAACCTCAGGTAACTCTTTAAGATTCTAAGGTGAAGAATCTTAGTCTGTACTGTACTCTATTTACACCAGTAAAATCACCGGTCCATCAAAACCCATCTAACATTGAACTGGTTAAGAGCCCTAGGGTGGCACCCAGCACCAGGGGTCCTGAAATACCATTTACCTTGTGGCTCCAGGTTTGACTCCCAACATGTCCCAGCTATCTTTGCTATTTCGAATCCTGCGAATGTTATCAGCTTGCTCTTTGGTGAAACTTATGCTGACGTTTGTTCCAGGACGTTTCCCACCATTTTCACAAAAATCAACTATGGCAGAATAAAACATCTGTAAACAAAGCATTATAGAATTATCTTAGGAAAACTAGATTTGGCACTAATTTACTATGCCAATGACACTTGTTAAAACCGCTAATCATCTTTATAAGTTATAAATGAAGGTGTTAAAAGATAAGTATCCAATTTAGAACCACAGACAGTGGTGGCCTCCCTCTTCAACCCAGTCCACCAGCAGAAAAAAGTGCTGTAGGGTGCCCTTCTCCCTAACTTTTCTGCCAAAGTCACTGTTTCCTTTCCTCCTCCCAGCTATCCCTAAAGAGGAGGAGACCAGGGCCCTGCTTCATTCTGACCCTTAGACCTTCTTCTCCCTTCTAAATGGTTGTGGGCCTGGCTCCTCTATTATTGTTGTTCTTTCATTCTTGAAGAGAACCAGTGACATCACAGGGTGATGACTTGAACATGAACTGGATTTAAATGAGGCAGAGCTGTGCAAAGTTGTAAGCCTTACTCTTACTTCTAGAGTCACTGAAGTCCAGTGGCAAGACAAATGTGAGGATGCCTGGCAATGGCCTGGGATGCATTGTCCTGGCTCTTCTGGACCTCCCTTGATACCCCCAACATGGCTGCTCAGAATGCTTGGATGAGTAAAAAGTTACCAACTACAATCCTTTTGGCAACATGAAGATCCACTGGATCTTGCCATCTGCCTTGCGCTATACAGTAAAGACCATCAAGGCTTATCATCTACTCTGTCATTATGACTTTCAAAACCTCAGTCATTGCCATGTGATCTTCCAATGGCCTCTAAAGATCACTAAGCCTTTTTATATGTTTCCCCTAATAAGAACGCAAGCTTCTTGAGAGCAGGGATTTACATGTTAATTTTTGTAATTCTAAAGCAGGCCTGCACAACCTGCGACCCAACAAAGGATTTCAGGCAGCCCATGAAAATTGTACAGGAAAACATCCTCCACATTTTTTCCCCAGGCCATCGGAAATCCTTTGCTATGCCCACGGGCTATAAGTGGCCCATGGGTTGTAGGTTGTGCAGGCCTGTTCTAAAGTTTGCAAACAACATATAAACATGAACGTTTCTGTATACAGTGAAGATCAGCTAAAGAAGGTATTAGAAGCTGCCTAGTTCTATCATGCACAGATGATGACTTTAGAGTACTTTGTCCCAAAGTGGCCCTGCTTTTCTGTCTGTCTCTCAGACTTTCTGTTATCTCCTGCTCATTTAAAAAACAAATGTATGTTTTATTGACAACTTTTTATTCCCCCAGTATCACTATCACTAGTACTCTTCTTCCTCTTTCCTCAACCAAAAAAAGAAAAAAAAAAGCTGTCTCGCGCCAATAAGAACAGTCAAGCAAAATATATGTAACCTTCACCTGTATCTAAAAGTGCTAATCATTGGTCTTCTGCAGTTGTCACCACTCTGATTGGGTCCTTTCACAGTTTTTTTCTATTTTAATGCTCTACTCATTGTATACATTGTTCTCCTGGTCCTGCTTACTTCACTTTGCACTGGTTGATACAAACCTTTCCAGATGTCTCTGAAACCATTCCTTTCATCATTTCTGTATTCTAATAATACATTATTCTACCATAATTTGTTCACTCACTCTCCAACTGAGGGGAATCTCCTTATTTTTCAGTTTTCCACTAACAAAAAAGTTACTATTAATATTTTTGAACACAGAAATCTTTCTTTCTTTGATCTCACTGGGATACAGATCTAATAGTGATATCCTTGGGTCAAAGGAATGTAAATTCTCATGACTTTTTGGTATAGTTTCAAACTGACTTCTAGAATGGCTGGAATCATTCAAGTTTCCACTAATAGTGCATTAGCGTATGTACCAGAGATGCTGCCGCAGATGCTGCTGCTCACCTAGAATATTGCAATTGGTTTCCCTGCCTCAAGTCTCTCTGCACGCCAGGTCATCCTCTACTCAGTCTCCAAGTTTTGAATTCCCTTAAGCGTAGATCTGACCATATCACTTCACTACTCAAGAAACTCCAGTGTCTCCTTAACGCCTCTAGGATCAAATATAAACTCCTCTATTTGGCTTTTAAAGATTTTTACAGCCTGAGCCCAACCTCTTTCTAGCCTCACTGTAGGTATTACTCCCGTCCTCATATTCTAGGATACAGCCAAACTGGCCTTTTCTTTGTTCCTCACACATGACCCTCCATACCTTTGTACAGCCTGTCCCCTATGCCTGGAAAGCATTCCCTCCTCACTCTGCCTCATAGGACCTTTCCCTTCCTTCAAGATGCAGTTAAAGCACCTTCTACTTGAAGTCTTTGCCTTTCATGATTACCTCAATAGCTAGCACCCTTACTCTCAAATGGTACTAAATAATTCTTAGTATTTATTTGTATTTAGATGACTAGGTGGCACAGTAGATAGAGTGCTGGGAGTCAAGAAGACCTGAGTTCCAATCCAGCATCTGACACCTCTTAGCTGTGTGACCCTGGGAAAGTCATTTAATCTCTCTCAGCTTTGGTTTCCTCAACTGTAAAATGGGAATAATAGCAAAGATCTCACAGGATTGTTGTGAGAATAAGATTTTGTGTGTGTGCGTATGTATCTTTGCAAACTAAAGTGTCATGATGATTTATTCTGCATATATTTACATATGTACTTTTTTGTCTTCCCCAGTGGAATGTAAGTTCCTTGAAAGTTTTGTTTCATTCACCCAATTTGTATCCTGACCATCTAGCACAGTGCCTAGCACATAGTAGGTGCTTAATACTTGTTGTGTGACTGTCCTCCCACATTCTCTCTAACAACTATCATTTTCCATTTTTGCCATCTTTGTCAATGTGGCAGTGTGAAGAGGAAGCTTAGAGTTGTTTTAATTTGCATTTCTCTTATTCCAGACTTGGAACAATTTTTCATATGGCTGTTGATAGCTTGGATTTCTTCCCTTGAGACTGCTTAGTTTATACTTTAACCATTTATCATTTGGAGAACAGATCTTGTTTTTACATAGATGAATTAGTTCCCTCTATATCTTAGATATCAAAATGTATCAAAGAAAACTTTCTGCAAATATTTTTCTCCTCCTCCTCCTCCTCCCAACGTCCTCCTCTTCTTCCTCCTTCTCTCTCCTTCTTCTTTATTGGGTAGAGTCTCAGAGTGAGAAGACCTAGGATCAAGTCCCACCTCTGGCACATGCTGGATGCATGCCTCTGGGCAACTCATTTATTCTCATTCTAGGCAACTCTCTAAGACTTCAGGTTGTATTTATAGAGTGAGTATACTACACTAATGGAATCATAGGTTCGATCTGTATCCCTTCTAATTTTAAGTGCATTAATTTTGTTTATGTAAAAACTTTTCAATATTACATAAACAAAATTATCCATTTTATCTCCTGCAATCCTCTTCTCCTCTTGTTCGGTCAAGTGTTGTTCTCCTACCCATGGTTGTGAAATCTCCTGTCCTGACCCTCTAATCTGTGGACCTTTTATGTCTAAGTAGTGCGCCCATTTGCAGCTTACTGTGGCATAAGAAGTTTGTCTAAACCTGATTTCTGTCAGACTGCTTAGCAGTATTCCTAGTAGCTTTTTCTTCAATAGTATATCTTTATCTCAGTAGTATGGGTCTTTGTCTTTATCAAATACTGCACTACTGTGTTTGTTCCTAGATCTTACGTACTTAATCTGTTGCCCTGATCAACTTCTCTGTTTTTTAACAAATACCAATTAATTTCGATGATCACTGCTTTGTAGTAGAATGAATGAATGAAAAAGAATGTATTTGCTTTGTGCAAAGTGCCATACTAGGCACTAGGGATACAAACAGAAAAGTAACCTAGCCCCCCTACATTCACCCCCAATGAGTTCACACTCTAAAGGAAAGAGACAACAAAGCAGGAGTCCACAGGTACAAGGCAGATGAAGGACCCACAGGTTCTTAGGGTACATGGTAATGCATTATTTTTGCGTCATCTTCATTAATAAAACACGTCAGTTTCTGCTATTGAACCATTTTGCAGGACCAAGGACTTTGGCACTGAGAACTTTCTTTTCTAGAACTTCAGTAACTGTGGCTGTTGAGGAAGCACAGCTGTAGAGGGAGTTGTCAGGCTGCTTTCCTCACAGGGGTTATACTTCCCAAAAGGATGGCTACAGGGGTGGGACACCTGCGAGGCCACATGTGGCCCTCTAGGTCCCCAAATGTGGCCCTCTGACTGAATCCAAACTTCATAGAACAAATCCTTAAGGGACCAGAAGCAGGTCAGTAGAACTAGGGGAGAGGAGAAAATTAGCTGTTCCTTTTGGGCTTACCAGCCTGTCACTAGGAGTTAGATGGCAGCTGGCAGAGGTGGTGGGAGGCTCCTTCTTCATAGGAGTTGCTTTCCTAGATGATTGTTGTGGTTTCCAGGCTAGAAAAAGAGCTGGCGATCCGGAGGGTGCTGCTGTCCCCAGGGCTCTTGGGCACATCTGCCTAAAATTGATTGTTGTTTGGCAGCTGGTATAGGTAGTAGCAGGGATAGCAGGCCCCTTCTCTACAGTGGCTGCTGCCCCGAATGTGTGGTGTGTGGTGGACAGACTGGAAGCAGAGCTGGTAGTCTGGGGGGGGGCACTGGCATTCCTGGGGCTCTTAGGCTTCTCTGCTTGCCATTGGTAATTGACTGGCATTTGATATAGGATGTGGCAGGCCTCTTCTCCACAGAGTCTGCTTTCCTAGGTGATGGCCTTGATGGCAAGACTGGAAGCAAAGCTGGTGTTACGGAAAGGGCTGCTGTTCCCAAGGCTCTAGAGCTTGCCTGTCTTTCCATGGCAGCTGGCTGGCAGTTGGTGAGACAGGGATGGTGGGTCCTTTTCCCAGGGGGATTACTCCCTTGGATGATGGGTATGGCAGCCACGCTGGAATACAGCCAGTGGGCTTTAAGGCTTACTTGCTTGTCCATGGCAGTTGGTACACATGGTGGCAGAGATGGCAGGGCCTTTTCTCTGTAGGAGTTACTCTCCTGGGTAGTAGCTGGGGAGGTTGAGTGGAAGTAGAACCAATGGTCTAGGGGGTTGAGATGTGGTACTGTGAGGCTTTCTTCCTTTCTACTTTCTTTCATTATTTTCTTGGAGATTCTTGATACTTTTTTTTTTAGAAGAATTTTGACATACTTTAAAAAATTCTACAAAGTTAAGATTTTGTGGTTTGACCAAAAACCGTCTAAGCAAATTAATTTAGATAGCAATGTAATTTGTATTGTATGGTCATGGCTTGACCATGAGCAATCAACCTCCCCCCACAATTATTTAGGTCTGTCTTTATTTCCTTAAACAGTGTTGGATACTTGTATTCATATAATTCCTGTACGGTCTTAGTAAGTGAACTCATATATTTTACATGTTTTGTAGCAATTCTGAATAGACTTTATCTCTTCCTGCTGGGTTTTATTGATGACATACAGAAAAGTTAATGGTTTATATGGCTTATTTTTTCTTTTTTTAAAATAGGCTTTTTCTTTTTTTTTTCATTCTATACTTGACATACATCAATTAACAAATATTTTCATATAAAAAGAACAGAAAAAGAGGCTTGTATATGAAATGGAATATTTCCATCACAAACAACTTGTCCTTTTTAAAAAGCATATGACAAATTCAATATGTTTGAGAAAAACTATAATGCTTATGCCTTCCTCCAAATTTTCATCTATCTTCTTCTAAGTTTTAAAAAAATTCTTCAACAACTCCTTTCTTTTTCTTTACATCATTGTTTCTTATTCACTTGCCAAATTCCTTCTCCCACTAAAAAAAAACAAAACAAAAACAAAACAACAACAACAAAAAAACAACCTTTCTCGTGTGACAAATAAGGACTGGCAAACAAAACAAATCTACACGTTAGCCATATTTGAAAATGTTTATCTGATTCTGTGTCTGATTTCTACAATCTCTCTATCAGGAGATGGAAAGCATGCTTCATCATCAATCCTCTGGAGCTGTGGCTGACTATTGCACTGATCAGAGTTTTCAAGTCTCTTGAGGTTGTCCTTCTTTACAATTACGTAGTCACCGTAAAAAATTTTCTATTCACTTTACTCTGTATCAGTTCATACAAGTAAGTCTTCCTAGATTTGTGTGAATCATTCCCTTTCTTCATTTTTTGTGAAATGATAATAATACTCTATTACATGCATATGCCACAATTTGTTTAGCCATTCCCCAATCAAAGGCTATCATTTCCCTCCACCCAAAAACAGAAACAAAAAACATCCCATGAGCAGCTTTGGAAATAGCTCTATTTTTAAAGAGTCCCCACTACAAAAAAAGATGCTAATAATCTAAAAAAACTAAACTAAAACAAACACTGTCTTTATGTACCACCTGAAAGGACACAAAATAGACTGGTTACCTCCCTTTCTTGACAATAGTATTTCTTATAAGATTTTTATCTATTAGTTTCTGAGAATATTTTTTCTATCTGATAAGCATAAGATTTACATTGTTACAGAAGAGTTATGGAAGGTTCTAGGACCATATTAACGTTATGAGTCTGAACTACAGCACTTCAAAGCATCTGAAGCCACTGCAGATGGATTATTTCCCGTTAATGTTGGGTTTCAAGGTTGTTTGGTAGAAATATTGACCATGAAGTCCTTTTCCAGTCCAGTTAATTTGGAATAAGCCTACTGTGATAAATGCTAGGACTTCTAAAGACACAAAATAGACAATACTCACTGATATTCATTTAGTTACCAACTTACTAAGAATCACTGACTCAAAAGAACAGATTGATACAGTAAACCTTAGCAAATCACTGATGGTTCTGAAAGATAAATATTATGGATGCACTTTCATTCCCATTCTCTGAGGTTATGATTCTGAGTCTACTTGAGCCCTATATAGACATTTTTTTTCTTGTTCAGGAACTCAGAACTGTACCATTCAGGTATGGAATTCGACAAAGTTCTGTCATGGAATGGTTCCATGAGGAGAGAGTAAGCCCCAGAATACACTTAATTTTGCTAGCTAAACACTCAAGCTGGATGTTCCTACTTTTTGTGCCCAATTTAATCCACTGCTTTCCTTACATTGCTCCTACAAATCAAAGTTCACTTATGGTGTTGGGGGGAGCCCAACCCTCTGAAGAAGCACACTTCAGACAAAACTTACAGGGACTTGCATCTCATTATCTCTCTTAAAATGCCTATGGATTCACACACAAACACTACCTACCCTTCTCCACCTCTATCCACCCCAGCTTATTCATTGTATGGTATATTTTCACTCACCCCACTAATCCAGAATAATACTAACTTTCCAACTTCTCCATATACTCAAATTCTGCTCTCAACAACACACTCAGTGACAATCTCCCAGGAGCCAGTATTAGAAGTTGCCCTTACAATCTTTATAACTCAGGGGTAAAGAGGATTATCAATAGCTATTATCAACAAGGTCTCAGTTTTTAAGGTACACAGATGATACCCCTTCTTAATCTCTCAGTGAGCTGCTAATGTCTGCTTGGGGGTCAAAGGAAGTCTTTCAGAAAATTCTTCTTATTTAATGGTCTATAATAAATAGACTGAAAGACAGGTAAATACAGAGAAATTTCCTAACTATCATAAAGGGGTTTATTTTCTAGGAACAATAACTCACTCATTCTCTTAGTAAATACATTTTTTGGTTTGCTGGTATTTTAGAATTTAAATTGAAACATGACATGGTCAGTTCTGGCACAATCCCTATATGACTAAATTACCTGGAACATCTCGTTGATTCCTTCTCCTGTTTGTGCTGAAGTCTCAAAATAAAGGAACCCTCTGCTTTCAGCCCAAAGGCGTCCTTCACTTTCATCTACACAGCGATGCTTGGTACAGTCAATCTTAAACAAGGAGAGAAGTTACATTTAATAATTTTTGTATTCCCATTAGAATGGCTTAACCAAATATTTCACCTAAAATAGGCATTAGTAAAGCTAAGTAATGTCCCTAAGTGTTTTTAGGAGGAATGAAGAAGGAAAAAGGAGGGGAGAAAAGGAAAATAAAAAAGTAATAATGAGAAAAAGGAGGAAAGAGAATAAGAAAAAGAATGAGAAACACGTTCATTGAGTAGTGAGCACTGGAAGTGACCAACAGCTGCTTCAGAAATCACTCAATCATGAATATTTTAGTTTACCCACCCTGTGCAAGAATGAACATCAGTAGTTAATTTATAGAACAACTGTATAATATATGTGAAAAAGAAGAAAAAATAATTATAATTATTGAATTATGGTAACAGAATCAATGATACTAAGAATGATTACAAATATTTGGTTCTTCTTGCCTAGCTTTCAGCTGACACACAATTAACTTTCTAACTGAACATTTAGATGGAATGATCTCCATCTCCTGGGAATCTAGAGTCTATTGTGCTACAAATAGGACACATGTGACACTACCTATCAATGGATCTTGATGATTATTAGGTCAATTGTAGAGCCATAACAAACACACCAAAGGCAGTTAACATACCTTTGCGCTTTCTGGTATAACTCATGGAGTACACACAATAATCAACTTCATGCTTTGACCAGCCTGATCTTCAAGAACAACAACAATAATAATAATAGCATTTTTATAGCACTTTAAAGTTTGCAGGGGAACAGCTAGGTGGCTCAGTAGATAGTAGGCACCAGGCCTGAAGTTAGGAAGTCTCATCTTCCTGAGTCCAAATCCAGCCCAAGACATTTCCTAGCTATGTGACCCTAGGTAAGTCACTTCACCCTGTTTGCCTCAGTTTCTCATCTGTAAAATGAGCTGGAGAAGGAAATGGCAAACCACTCCAGTGTCTTTGCCAAGAAAACCCCAAATGGGGGTCATGAAGAGTTGGATATGACTGAAACAACTGAACAACAACAAAGTTTGCAGTGCATTTACATTCATTATCTCATTTAAACTTCACGACAACCCTGTGAGACAGGCACTCTAGGCATTATTATCGCCATTTTGCAGATAAAGAAACCAAACCATGCCTCTGAATGGCAAATAATTTGTTTGTGATCACACAGGTAATAAGTGACAAGATCTGAACACAGATCTTCTTGACTCCAAGTTCAGTGCTCTATCCACTATGCCATACAACTTAAATATTACAAACTTGGGGACAATGCCACATAGTTTTAATACAAGGTTGCACATCTGTCCTTCAAAAGCAACACCACCTTGCCTTTGATCACATTCTGGATTTGCACCTTTGTCCACTGTAATGGAAAGGCTAAGAATAGTAAGTCAAATCAGTACTACAGCAAAGAAGAAAGTTAGGTTGCTTGCAGATAAGCTGTGCTAGACTATCACTATGGGGGTATGGCAGCAGCAGGTAGTGGAGGATTTGGGGAGACTACAATGATAAAATATTGAATAATAACACAGTGGAGCCCTGTGGCAGCTTGGACTGCTTACAGAAAGCTACTGTTACTGACCTTGTGACATGACATCATTGCTGCCTCGCTCTCTCATGTACGCTATGCTATATAAAAATCCACTCATTATTACTGTTGTTCCTACTATTGTCTGAAAAAAGTGAAATCTACCTTAATTTTCTAAATCTCTTTCAACTATTAAACTTAGTTAACCAAATAAGTTCTATTTTAGTTTTTAAAGTATTAATTCTTGTATCTCCCAAAGGTTTATAGATCAGAAATATTGACTAAAGGATTTTCAGCTCCTTTCTTTCCATTTCCCCCTCTGTTCTTGTTTCCCATCTGTTTTTTTAAAAATTTGTTTTTATTTTTATTTTAAAGATACATTTTTTCTTCAGTAGGGCTGGGTCCTTCTCCACGAGAAGCTGAAGAAAACTTGGGTGTCCCTGGATTCTGACGAGAAGTCAGGGCTGGAAAAGAAGGTGGTGTCTCTCTGAAGAAAAAGGCCCAGGCAGATGTGAGAAGCACTCTCAGCCCTTTTCTGGTTCCTGCTGCTGTTAGGTGGGGTGGCTTCTGTGACATCAACATCATCATTATGATGATAAATTCAGGTCTTATACAAGGCACATAATGAGTGACCCCACATCACTAAAGTTTACAGCAATGGTCACAGCATCAAGTGAAGACATCTTTATGTCCTGGAATTCAGTGACTTCCCTGGAATGCATGAACTCTTGTAGCCAGAATTTAGGTATATCAAAGACATACATAGGAGTGAAGTGCTGAGGAAAGCGCTGCTGTGAGAACTTTGTGAGTGAGTTCCTGTGAGAAAAGTACAGGAATGAATGCACTGTCTGGCTGATTTACAACACAAGGATTCACACATCTTGCCTCCCATAAATCCAGATGGTTATGAAGTAGCTGCAGACCAAGGCCCAGACACCAAGGAGTATCTGACTGGCCAGAACAATGCTAATAGAATAGACCTACATTGAAACTTTCCAGATCTTAATACCTACATGTACTACAATGAGAAGAGCAGGGGGCCCAACTGCCACATACTCCTTTCCAGACAACTGGAGAAATCAGGTGGAACCAAAGACTGAGGCTGTTACACAGTGGACTGAATCCATTAACTTTGTTCTTTCTGCCAATCTTCATGGAGGTGTAGTTGTAGCCAATTACCCATATGACAAGTCCCATAAGCATCGGATTTGGGGTTTCCATCATACTGCCAATATTCCTACCCCAGATGATAAGCTTTTCAGAAAGCTGGCCAAAGGCTATTCCTATGCACATGGATGGATGCACCTGGGCTGGAACTGTGGAGATTACTTTCCTGATGGCACCACCAATGGAGCTTCCTGGTATTCTGTCAGCAAGGGAATGCAAGACCAAGTGCTTTGATATCACTCTGGAACTGAACTGCAATAAGCTTCTGTGCCAGGAAGGAGCTGCAAAGGGAGTGGCTTGGCAGCTAGGAGGCAATGATTAGTTTCCTGTGAAAATAACAATAGCACTACAGGAGCAGCGATTTCTATTAATGGAATTGTTCATGATGTCACTTCAGATATGCAAGGCAATTGCTTCTGGCTGCTACTACCAGGTACTTACGTTGTCACTGCCACAGCACCTGGGTACAGATCAGAGAAGACTATGACATTTGGACCTGCAGAACCAAAGCAGGTTAACTTTCAGCTCAGGAAAGACACCACTAAGGAATCTCCTTAGCAAAAAAGCCCTGTCAAGGGTCCCAGTGGCAAAATCCTCCTAAAGAAGATGGCATCTCAAGAAGCTGGCAAAGAGACATGGAGAGGCAGGTCCTGATTATGCAGCAAGGCTCAGGTCACTCCTGCCTTAAAAACAGAGTCGCCCAGACCAGGATGAGAAAAGAAGCCAAGAGTCACACTTGATGAGAGCCTATCTTATGCCCGTTATTAAATAAGATGAACCTATCTATTTTGTTACCTATAAGGAATTTGAAAACAAAACTAATTCAGAAAAAAAGATACATTTTTATTTGTCTTTTGTTTTTATATCACTTAGATTTCCCCATGATCCTCTCTTCCTCCTCCCAGTGAGTCATACCATATTACAAGGAATGTTTTCTAAAACACAACAAAACAGATCAAAAGATTAAAAAAATCCTAAAAACATATGCAATGGTTCATGCCTGTGGATTTTAGATTTCTGCAAAGAAATGGGGGATATTTTCTCACATCTTTTCTTTAGTGTCATACTTAATTTTTTTTGTCATTTCTACTGTACCTATTTTCCCACAACCCCTCCAAAATTGACTACTTCTATCTTTTGTCATCTTTGCCAATTTGCTGGGTTTGAAGTGTAACTTTACAATTGTTTTGATTTGCATTTCTTTTATTATTAGAGATTTAGATCATTCTTTCATATGGTTGCCGATTTATAATTCTTCTTTTGGGAACTTTCTTCATATCTTTTGATTATTTATCTATTAGAGAATGACTTCTGGTTGTCTTTCTTTCTATCAGTTGTTTATATGTAGGAGAACAAACCCTTATCTCAGAAATTTGAAAACAAAGATTTTCCCATTCAACTGCCTCCCTTCTTATCCCAAATGCATTTAATTTTGTCTGTGCAGATTAATTTTATGTAACCAAAATTATATGTTTTATTTTTTGTAATTGCTTCCTTTGTTTGGTTAAGAAAATGTTTCCTACTCAGAGCAGGAAAAGGTAATATAATCTGCTTCTCTTCTATTTTTTTTTTATGGTATAATCTTTAATATCTAAGTTATGTCTCCATTTATTGTAGAATGTGGTATAAGATGTTGGTCTAAATCTAATTTTTGCCAGATTGCTTTCCAGTTTTCCTAGTAGTTATCAAATGGGGTGTTCTTAAGTAATTTGTTTTCAAGTTTATTGAATAATGTTACAGAGTTTTATATTTATGATTTCTCCTAAGTGTATTTTTTTATACCTTTCACCCAATATCAAATCATTTTGATGACTGCTCTTTTATAACAGTTTTGAGGTCTGAAATTTTTACCGTTTCATTGCTAACTTTTTTATTATTTCATTTAATTAACAAAATATGGTTTCTCCAAATGAATGTTATTTTAGCATCCTAGCTCTGTAAAGTATCCTTTTGGTAATCTGATCAGTATAGCATTTAACCCTGAAATTAACTTTGGTAGCACTGCATGTTTTTGTTTTTAATTATGTTGCTTCAATAATTCTGAACCATCCTTGCATTGTGGTATAAATCCAACTTGGTCAGAGTGAAGGACTCCTTGGCACAACTGCTGTATTCTGACAGGATTATATTTAAAATTTTTTAATCAAAATTCATTACGCTATTGGTCTATGGCCCTCTTGTGCTTCTTCTTTCCCTGGGTTTTGGTATTAGGTCTTTATTTGTTTCATAAAGAGTTTAGTAGAGTGCTTGCTTTATTACTGAAATTTAGAAAACAGTATTCTAATGGTATTGTCATTTAAAAGGCTTATAGAACACTCCCATAAATCTATCCAGACCAGAAGTATTTTTTTTTTCTTTATGTAGTTCTTTTGCAGCTCATTCTCTTTCCTTTTCTGAGACTGGATTAGTTAAGATTTCTATTTGGTGTTTTGTTGGTTTGAGTGTTTTATATTTTCCAACAGTAATTCTCTATTTTTTTTTTCCTGTTTTTAGTGTTGTTATGTAACTGTGCATTGTAGGTTCTGATAATTCTTTTTATTTCTTTTGGTTTGGCTGTGATTTCACCTTGTTCATTTTCTATTTAGTTGATTTGATTTTCTGCCCTCTTATAAATCAGATCAGCTGAAGTTTTATCAGTTTTTGTTAGTCTTTTCAACTAATCAGATTTTAGTTTTATCAGTTCTGTAATTTTTTCAGTTTCAAATTTATCCAATTCTGCTCTCATTTTAAAGATTTCCTCTTTTGTGCTTATTTTAACCTGCTTTTTTTTTTAATGTATGTTTAGTTCATTTATCCTCTGTTTTTCCATTTTGCCAATGTATATTTTTAGGAACATATTTTTCTTCCAAGGTCAGCTTTAGCTGAACACCAGAAATTTTAGTATGATGTCTCATCTTTATCACTATCTTTTACATAATTTTACATAACATATAACTGATAATGTTACTTTTTCTTTTTTAATTATTTAGGATTTCATTAGTAAGTCTCCATTTAGATCTGTCTTTGTGTGTGTGTGTGTGTGTGTGTGTGTGTGTGTTTGCCTTATCAGTTATAGTTTTATGATCTGTAAAAGATAAGTTTAGCACTTCTGTCTTTTAATACTTATTTTTAATTTCTCCATGCCAAAATACACAGTCTCCTTTTATAAAAGTGCCACATGATACTAAGTAAGACGTACATTCTTTAGTGAGCCTATTCAAAAGGTGCCATAAATTTTTTAGCTCTAAATTTTCCCAAAATTTGTTCAACTCTATGTTTTCCCTTTTGGTTATTTTTCTGCTAGGTTGATCCAATCCAAAGAGGAACATTAAATTGGAACTTCTATGTCTTTTACATCTTTATAGGAAGAAGGTACTAGCAGTGGGAGGACTGAGACACAAAAGTTATCTTACTGAAGGTGGGATTTGAGTTGAGTCCTTGAAGGAGGCCAGGAAATCCCATGAGATAAAGGTGATGAGGGAGAGCATAACAGACTTGGGTAAGAGCCACTAAAAAGCTACACAGTCAGGGGATAGAGTAAAATGTAAGAAGAGTAGAATGATGGAAAAGAGTAAGATTTTTAGGGACTTTAAAATCCAAACAGTGTATTTTATACTTGATATTGGAGATAGAAAGGAACTTATTGAAATTGAGACAGGGGAGGAAGGAAAGTGACATGGTCAGAATGGAGCTTTAGAGAGGAAGGGGGGTGACACGGTTGGAACTGAGCTTTAGGTAAATCACTTTGGCAATTGAGTAGAAGATGGAATAAGGAGGACCAGGATCTACCTGGGACAATCATTCATCCAGCAAACTAAAGAATAGAGGGAACTCATGCAGGATGCCATCATACAGAGCTGCTTGAAGCCTGAAGGAAAGGAGATTAGAATCCAGCTCAATCCAGTCCTTTCCCCCCAGAAATTACTTGGGGCAATGATAGAGGCCAATAAAAAATGGATTTATCTAAAACTGAATCCTCTGTCAAATCTTCTCTTTTTAGTAATCTCCCAATTACACATTGAAAATTTGCTTTCCTATTTTATACAGTAAAAGTTGAATATAGTTTTCCTTGTAATTGTTTGTATTTAATAAGTGGTTCTGCAAGACCTTGACCTAAAATTAGAATGGAACCCATTTATTTCTTCCATATATCCAAATTAGCAAGAAAATGGAGGTGGTGGATACTCCTGCTTGGGCTGCTAAGGTGGAAAGTAGTTCAGAAACTAAAAGAATCACAGTCAATGTAGAATCTTAGACTCCAGAATAGCAGTGGCTAAACAGCAGTGGCTAAAACCACATGTGAATTTTTTATCTTGTTCTTTTTTTTTTTTTTTTTTTTTTTGGCTTACAACAGGGCATTTCTATTTCATTACAGAAATCTTGGCAGAACTAGGTGCTTCTTTCTACTCTACCATCTTATCAAAAATCTCTCATCCATTTTATGCAGACTATTATTTTAAAGGATGACATTTTCTGATCTTCCAGATTATGCATGTTCTACTAGTACTCTAGCAGTTTAGGTTGATATTAGAACAAAATGACATAGTCATAGGTTATTCAACAATTAACAAAATGAGGTTTACTTAGCAATAGCAAGGGAAAGATATTCAATAAGGATATTGCATGGAAGAAATCACAAGTTTGCTTCAGCTGAGCAAAACTCCTCTCCTATGAGCTATACGTTCTTGTCTGTGAAGCTCTTTGTGGTTGTTTGGCACTCAGATGACAAGGCAGTGGTGTCAATAGCTTGAACCATGAGCCAATCAAATCCTGAGGATAGTTTCAATATCTTTTAAGAAAAAATAACCTTACATGAGAGCAAGGGAAGGGGGTGTGGTAGTGATCCTGTTCCCACCATAATGTGTATAAATCCTGTTTAAAGTTATCAGCTGCCCATGCAGCTATTTATACGTATGTACTGGTCGTGGTTTTTATTAGGTTAGGCATAGGCATGGAAAGGTTCTAGAGTGAGCTACTAGACGAATGTATTAGGTCTTGGGCATCTCAACTCAAAGACTACAAGTCCCAGAAATAGACAAATTAAATGATAAAGAGAGATTTTGTAATAGATGGACTAAAAGTGTGTTAAAAGAAGATGATATGGATTTATTCACCAAGTTCAGGAATACTAAAACTGGTAGGCAACTTGCAGACTGATGGTTAAACAACAGCAAAAAAAAAAGTAATAATAACGAATATTTATATAGATTTGCAAAGACCTTTACAAATACATCTCATTTTAGCCTTACAACAACCCTCTGAGGTAGAACTATAGGTATTTTTATCCTCATTCACAGGTAAGAAAACTGAGAATTAAAGATTAATTAACATTAATTAGTTAGGTATTAACATGCCTCCAGTCACAGAACTATATGTGACAGAAGGCAGGATTTGAATACAGGCTTCACTGATTCCAAGATCAGAACACTATTCAATATAACATTCTGTCTAGAAACTAGACATGTGAAGCCCCAGAAAAACAAAAAATACATAATTTTAGAAAAAGTCTCCTTTCCCTATTTTTCTTTTCTTCCACATCTCTAGTAGAACCCCGAAACAATATGGCTCAGTAGGAACAGCCACAAACAGCTATGCAATGGACCCCTCCAGTGCAAATGCAGTAATCCATTGAGATGGTTTCCAAAGGCAGCCTTTCCCCTCAATGTGTTTTGTTACTAAAACCAAAAGCCTCAGGTCATGATACTCACAGTAAAGCTTACCAACAGCAGCTAACCTGAGATCTGTTTTTAAATTGTCTCTGGGGGCAGCTAGGTGGCACAATAGATAGATCACCAGCCCTGAAGTCAAGAGGACCTGAGTTCAAATCTGGCCTCAGACCAAACACTTGACGGGTGTGACCCGGGGCAAGTCACTTAACCCCAATTGCCTTAAAAAAAAATAAAATAAAATAAAATTGTCTCTGATTCCTTAGAACAGTGATGTCAAAGTCAAATGGAAACTGCATATTGATTTAGAAAACCACAAATTAACATTATATTCTATGTACTTTACTTTGTTAATCTTTTCCCAATTACATTTTAATTTGGTTCCAGGTGCTCTGGTAAAGTATAGAGAACATGCTGTCCCTAGGGTACAGCCCTTGAAGATCTGGGAGTTCACATACTTCCCCTAAACTGCTGTTTCAGCAGTCTTTAGTTCAGAGGATACACTCAAATATTCCAGCCCATCTATTGATGGTATCTGAGGCTCTTCAACTCTGAGATTCTGTTGCTTTCAACAGCTTAGAGGATGATCAATCCTCATTATGGTACCCCATTCCCAGAGGCTTGTAAGAACCATCTTATAAGAGTTAATGTCTGACCTCCAATGTTTATTAGGCAGTGTGTGCAATGATTGGAACTTGATGTTCAGGACCCATTCCTTTTCTTGCTTAAGAGTCAGTATCACTGTTACCAGCATCCCTCTCCTTTTCAGAACACTGGTAAGTCACTTAAAATGTTGCCAAATATGTGGTAAAATATAGTACTGATATAAATTGTTTTATCTCCACTTGATTATCAATGCTAAAAGCCATATTCTTTTTTTTTTTTTTTTAGGCAATTGGGGTTAAGTGACTTGCCCAAGATCACACAGCTAGTAAGTGTCAAGTGTTTAGTCTGAGGCCGGTTTTGAACTCAGGTCCTCCTGACTTCAGGGCTGGTGCTCTATCCACTGCGCCACCTAGCAGCCCCCCATATTCTTAACATATTATATCTAATCCTTTGATATGTTCAGTTCCAATGTAATTACCTTATTGGCGCAGACTGTAAATATAATATTGTCCATGTTTCCATGAGGTCCAAGCTCTTGCTTCATTTCTGCCAGCCAGCTATCAAGAGCCTCAAAAGAGTCCTTTTGGCTAACATCATAAACTAGGATGACACCCTGTGTGTCCTTGTAAAACTCATTTCGAACCTATAAAAAGGTAAAGACATATATTTAGGTTCCTAATCTGTTCTAAAATTTTTCATAGGTTTTGCACAAATAAAAGTAATGCAACCAGAATAACAGGAAGAGATACACAATAGAAAAAAGTGGGAAATTGACAGAAAGTAGTGTGGTCAAAGGACACAACAAGCAATTTTGACAGAAGAAACAAATTATCAATATTGATTTGAAAGAAAATTCAAAATCCAAATTTTGAACTAATAATGGTTCGAAATAATAATGTATTCAATAATACAATTCATATAAAATTGAATGAACTAATAATAAAAATTAATAACTAATAAAACATTTGCCCATGTTTTATTACAGTTTACATAGCACTTTCCCCACGAGAAACCTCTCAAGTTCAGAAAATAATCCTCAAGTATTACCTCCTTAGATAAAGAAGCTAAAACTCAGTCACTTAGTTCAGGTCACATGGTAAAAAGGCTCAGTGCCTAAACTTCAACACAAATCTTTTACCCCATCAAGTGCTCTTTATGATGTCTCTCTGGCACATTGCTTCAAATATTGTTCATCTTCGATAGAGCTCCATGAAAAATACGAACAAACTATAGCCAAGTTATTTCCATCTAAGAGGTTTATAGTATTCTTCAACCATGTCTCATTAATAACTGAAATGAATATGTATAAGAAATGAAACATGGCACTAGAAGAACCAATAGTCTCACTGTTTAACTCTTTACACTAATGCATAGCTGAAAATAAGTTCAGAAAAGCATGGGAAGACTTATATGTCCTGATGCAGAAGGAAGAAAGTAGAGCCAAGAGGACAACACACACAATGGCTACAATGATGCAAATGAAAACACCAAAATTTAGATTAAATACAAGTTTTGGTTTCAGATGATCAACTGGTTTTCTTTGCATAACAGACAGTTTTATGGCAAGGTTATCAGGAAGTGACTAACGTAAAAAAAAAAGCAGCAATAAAATATTTTTAAAAGGAAAATTAATAGCATTATTAGTAAGTTAAGTGAAACATCATGAAATAGTGGATAGAGAGCCCACCACAAATCCAGGAAGACTCAGGTTCAAAATCCTACCTCTGATAACCTACTAGCTGTGTAACCCTGCTTAATCTCTCACTGCTCTAAGCAATGCTCTAAGACTCTAAGCTGCAAAGTTGGTGCTCTAGGTAACCCTCTAATACTCTAAATTGCAAAGAAGATGCTGAAGGAATTTCCTTGTCCAGCACCTTCCCACACTACTGAAACCTCAAATTCAGTCCCTATTTCTATCAGTAAATTGCAGAGTAAGGAAGAGAGGAAAGGGTCACTACCTATGTGCAAAAAGCACCACTCATGCCACTTCCAGGAAAAAAAAATTTTTTTTAACCCCAAGTTTGACATGCTTACTGCATCTTCTTCATAAAAGCAAGGTTGAAGAATGAGACCAGAATTTCAGGTTATAAGTCTCTAAAATCAGGGGGAGTAAGAAACTTTAGCTTGTGGGACAGGTCTAATTATCAGGTTAATTTGATCTAACCTGTTGTAATTATCTTAAGCATCTGTCAGACAGTGCTAACTCTATCACTAAAGCTGATCAATTAAACTGAATGCATATTTGAAAGATGGTCAGCAATAAGATACGGTACCTAAATTCTCTGGGGGAAGTTTTTCCCTTGGTAAATCTCTCAGGGTGACATTCTAAAGACGGCTTTCTAAGACATTAGGCAGGTGATCAGAAGTCAGCCCTTAGCAAGTGGTTTGGATAGTAGGAGTGAAGAATCTAGTATAGGAAGTAACAACACTGTTAAGGAATAATCAGCGTTCAATGGGACCTAAGCTATTAGGAACTGGGGCAAGCAGAGGGCTTATAGGGTTACTGCAGATAGTAAATCGTGTTTTGTTGGGGGGTTTTTTGGTGAGGCAATTGGAATTAAGTGACTTGCCCAGAGACACACAGCTAGTAAGTATTATGTGTCTGAGGCCACATTTGAACTCAGGTCCTCCTGATTCCAGGGCCAGTGCTCTATCCACTGTGCCACCTAACTGCCCAGATAGTAAATCTTGAAGTATGTTGGGGAAGGAGAAATTCTGGCTAGCTTGGGACTGGGTAAAAGGAGAGTGGTTTTAGCTTTTAACCAAGTGTTTGGCAAGAATGTTAGCTAGAAACAGTAATCTAGGCCACTTCAATGAAATAGACTGCTGGGTGTTGATGGATTTAAGCAATTTCTACTGATTTTGTAATTTTGCAACACTATTCTCTCTAATGTCTACTCTTACCTGACCACTCCTTCTCAGTCCTCTTGAATTGATCTCAATCAAAATCCCATTCCCTAATCATGAATGTCCCATATGATCTCTTTCCTTCTATCCTAGATCCTTAAGAGATCTCATGTGCTCCCATGAATTCAATTATCATCACCATGCAGACTTCCAAGTCTGCACATTTAACCCTATTCTTGCCCGAAATCCAGTCCTGCATCACCAACTGCCTTTTAGAAATCTGTACTTGGATATTCCCCTGCCACCTCCCACTCAGCATGGCCCAAAAGGAAGTTATCATCTTTCTTCCTAAACCCATTCCTCTTCCAACTGCCATTTCTGTTGAGGGTTCCTCTACCCTCCTAGCCAGTCAGGTTTGTAACTTCTTCCTTCACCCTTTGCATTCAATCACTTGTCAAGATCTGAAAACCGTAACACAATCTTTCTCTTATCTTTCCCCTTCTCTCCTCTCCCTCAGTCACTACTCTTATTTCAAGCCCCATATTACCACATACCTGGACTACTGCCAGTTGTTCAGAAAGGAAGATCATATACATTAGCTTTGACAGTGTGGTACCAAGATTACCTGTTAGCTCTGACCAAGTATTATTGCCTTTTTTTATACTGTTACAGTAACAGTGGGTTTTCTTTTGGCTCTACTTTCCTTAGTCTGTATGACTTCACACAAGTATTTTAATGTTTCTCTGAATGTTTCATATCCATCACTCCTATGACACTCATATTATATTTTGTTCAGCTGTTCTCCAATCACTGAACAGACATTTTGTTTCCAGATTTTGCTGTTACAAAAAATAATGCTGGCACATTTTGTGGTAGCAAAGAACTGAAAATAACGTAGATGCTCATTGAATTGAGAATGGATAAACAAGCTGTAGTACGTGAATGTAAGGTGACTACACCACAAGAAATGCCAAATATGAAGAACTCAGAGCAGCATGGACTTATACAAATTGATTCAGTGAAATAAGCAGAACCAGAAAAACAACATAAAATGACAACCTAAAGAAAGAACAAAAAAATGACACTGAACACTGTAATTATTAATGACTAAGCTTGATCACAGAGAAGAGCTGAGAAAATGCTTCTTCTCCCGAGTGCCTCCTTCCCTTCTTTGGAAAGACAGAGGACAACGGGCATGGAATACTGTATATATTGTCTGATATGTCTGCTGTGTTAGTCGGTGTTGCTGAACTATTTTTTCCCTCTTTTTTGTTTTTGTTTTTATTACAAAGCATGGATCCTTGAGTAAGAGAGGAAGAAGGGATAGACTTGGAAATGAAGGTGATGTAAAAGCTAATGAGATCACTAAAAACGAAAATAAATATTGCTCTTAATATTTCTGTACAAATGTACTTTTCTTGCTTTTAATAAGCATTCTTGGGTTATGGTTTCAATAGTGGGATCACTGAGTAAAAGGAGGTGAACAATTGCGCAATTTTTCTTACATGATTCCAAATTATTTTCCAGAATGGTTAAACTAATTCACTACTGCACCAGCAGTAGATTAGCATGCCTCTCTTCCCACAGCCCCTCCCACAATAAGCCTTCTCATTTTTTATTATCTTTGTTAATTTTACAGGTATATGCTGAGACCTCATGGATATTTTAATTTGTATATTTCTGATTATTAGTGATTTTGAACAACTTTCATAAATTAAAGCTATTAATTATGAGATAACTTGTATTATTTCTTTTTAAAACTTTTTCACATCCTCTGACTGCCTGTGTCTTAGGAAATGGCTCCTAATCTAGATTTTATAGCAGCACAAAATTGGAAACAAAGTGGGTTCCGAAATTGTTGAGAAAAGACTTTATTTTTATTGTCCCTTTGGATTCCTACTTTGTCTATAGGTCATGGAGGGAATATAGCTTGAATACTAAGAAAGAAAGATTCTAAATAAAATGAGCACGGGGGGAATGGTTTCACAAGTGTGCTATATAAACAGAATGGTATACTATTTTGCTCCAATGAATATTAGGAATACATAGAAACAAGAGAAGGCTTGTACAAACTAAGAAGCAAAAAGGCAAGTCAGAAAGATACAGGTTCAAATCCCACCTCAGGTGCTTATTGGTTATGTGATCCTAGCTATATGATCCTGGGCATCACTTAAACTCTGTTAAAAGTTTCAGTTTCCTCATTTGTAAAATGGAGATAATAAAGGGTTGTTGTAAGATTCAAAGGAGATGTATTGTAAAAGCTGTGCAAACCTCCAAGCACTATACAAATGTCAGTGATTATTATTATTAACTGAGGCAGAGTTAAGTAAGTAGAATAGGAAGAAAGATAGTCACAATAATTATAATAAAAGGATAGGAGTACTACATCCCTAAAAGATACCATTCCAGCCCAGCCCAAATCACCAAATCTTTTGTCTTCACTGAATCAAGCCTAAGTAGCTGTGGCTTATTTGACTTAAATAGTACCCCTTCTACTCAACTCCACCTCCTCCTCTCCCCTCCCTTGCCCAGCCCAGCCCTTAAACAGTGTATTCTACTTTTACTGCTATAAATTTTTTATACTTCCCTTACTAAATCCAGATAATAATGTGGTTTATAAGATTCACTCTCCTTGCATCTTCTTATTCTTTGGATGACTTTCATCTGAGGTACCCTGATCTCAAGAAACATAGGTCCCTTTCCTTTCCTTCTCTAAGATATTTTTCATTTTTATAAGTTTTATTTATTACTTCCATTTTTACATCTTTTTTATATCTACATTTCTGGATACATCCCAGGTCCTCTTACTCCAGAGACAGCATTCTTCAATGAACCATGAATATGCCCCAAGGAAGGGAGATAGAAGGAAGAGTCATTTTGAGCTCATAAACCTGGAAAATTTGGATAAAGGAAACCAGGAGTGTTGTTTTAATTTTTTACTGAGAGAGAACTCACATAAGACTTAGGGCAGAACTCAGGAAAGGTCATTTTAGCACCCCACTATGAAGGAAGGTTTGAGATTTATGATTCATATTACTGAGTTCCTAAGACCCAGCATGGATCTGATTATCTTGAAACATTTATATTAATTTTAAGAGTTAGGGACATATGTGAAAAGCAATAAAAATATCTGGTTTGCCTATTTATAACATAACCAATGAACCTATCACTAACCCTATTTCAAGGGATGACATAAGAAACTTGTACAAATAAGTATTTGTAATCAGGCTACAGTTCAGAGGACAAATGACAAACATAATTTAGGTCTACCTTAACTCTACCTATACAATATACATACTGCTAGTTTCCAAACAACTTGATTTTTGCTGGCTATCCATCATAACTGGAATGTTCTCTCCTCGGCTTCCTTCAAGATTCAGATAATCCCACATTCTGGAGTAGACCTTTCACCCTTCCCCAACCCCCTTAATACTAACGCCTTCCCTTGAAAAGTGGGCAGCTAGGTGGCACAGTGGATAGAGTGCTGGACCTAGAGTCAGGAAGACTCCTCTTTCTGAATTCAGATCTGGCCTCTGATACTTACCAGCTGTGTGACCCTGGGCAAGTCGCTTCAGTTTCCTCATCTATAAAATAAACTGGCGTAGGAGATGGCAAACCACTCTAGTATCTTTGCCAAGAAAACCCCAAATGGAAGAGTCATACATGACTGAAGTAACTGAACAACAACAACATCCCTTGGAGAACATCTGCCAGTTGCACTGTATGTTATATGTACAGTTATTTGCATCCTGTCTCCCCTACCAGAGTACGAACTCCTTGAGGGCAGGGACTATATTTTTGCCTTTCCTTGTATCTAAGCAGTGAACACAGTGCCCAGCACATAGTAAGCATCAATAAATGCTTATTGACTAAAAAACAAAAAAACGAAGATTCCACATTCAGGATACTGCATATAAACCTTTATTAAAAAAATTTATTTCTTACCTCATAGAAGAATGGATGTCCAGCCATATCAAAGATGTTAACTTTGATTTCTCTGTCTTTGATGTATACTCTGAAATGTCCAAATGGAAATCATTTCAAAAGAGGCCAAAGTTTTTGTAGAGCATTAATAGGGCTCTTTAAATATGCATGTCATTTATAGATTTTCTTTTTTAAAAATAATTTTATTTTAATTTTTTTTAAAGTCTAGATCTCTGGTTCCTCCTATTGGTTTTAATTTCTACTTACAACATCACTAATGTGAAAATATGTTTAATATGAATGTAAATGTATAGCCTATATCAGATTGTGCGCCATCTTGGGGAGGGTAGAAGGGAGGAAGGGGGAGAAAAATTTTAAACTCAAAAGCATATGGAAGTGATTATTGATAAATCAAAATAAATTAATAAAAAACAAATAAAGTTTATATCTCCCTATCCCACCTGGGCTGGGAATGCAAGGGCTACTTGCAATCTTCCTCTGATTGGCTTGGAAGCTTTGGCCTGCTTATTTTTCCACCTGGGCCAGTTAGTCCTTCCTTAGGCAACTTCTTTCCTCCCCTATTCCCAGGGGCTAAACAAATTAATACCAGATTTAGTGCAGACACCAAATTGGCTTAGCCTACTACAGTTCAGAACTCCCAAGCTCAAAAGATCCACCAGCTTCAACTTCCCCAGTAGCAGAGATTTCAGGTGTGTATCACCATTCGTGGCCACTTACACATTTTCAAAAGCCTAACTTATCTCTAAAAGTACATATTTCTAAATATGGAAGAACATCTTGCACAATATACAAAGAGAAGCTCCAAACGGGTACTCTGGCATAAGGTGATATCATGAAATCAGAGGATCAAGGAAGAAATTACCTGTCATATCTATGGATAGGGGAAGAGTTTATGATCAAACAAGAAGAAGGCAGTATAGTAGGAGGTAAAATGGACAACTTTGATCACATAAAATTTACAGGTTTTTGCACAAACAAAACCTATGATACAACTAAAATTGGAAGAGAAGAAGGAAATTTTGGGGAAATTGTTCTTGTTTCTCTGATAAAAGTTTCATTTCTAAAATATATGGAAAACTGATTAAAATGTATAATAATATAATTAGAGCAATTTCCTGATTGATAGTCAAAAGATATGAACAGGCACTTTTGTCTGAGGAAGAAATCCAAGCTATCAAAAACCATATAAAAAAATGCTCTAAGTCACTAATAATTAGATATATGAAAATTAAAACAACTCTCAGGTTCTATCTCATATCCATCAGATTGACAAAGTTGACAGAAAGGGAAAAATGACCAAGGTAAGAAAGGCTGTGGGGGGAAACGGTTATTAATGCACTTCTGGTGGAACTGTAAACTGGTCCAGGGATTCTGGAAAACAATTTGGAAACTATATCCAAAAAGTTATTAAATTGTGTATATACCCTTCAATCTAGCAAAACCATTACTCCCCAGGATGAGATCTATATTTCAAAAAGATAAAAGAAAGAAGAAAAAGACCCATATGTACAAAAATATCTTTAGCATCTCTTTTTGTGGTGGCAAAGCACTGGAAACCAAGAGGGTGCCCATCAACTGGAGAAGAGCTAGGCAAGTGATGGCATGTTAATATGATGAAATACTATTGTGCTATCAGAAATCATGAAGGGGACAATTTCAGAGAAACCTAGAAAGTAAGCAGAACCAGGAGAACAATTTACACAATAACAACATTATGGTAAAGGTAAATATCTTAGAAAAACTTTAGAACTCTGATCAATGTGAATGACCAATGATAATTCCAGAGGACTCATGATAAAACATGCTACTTACCTCCAGAGAAATTCAATGGATTCCTAATGGATTCAGTGCATATTTGAGACACGTTTTTGGACGTGGCTGATGGGGGGAAATTTTATTTTGTTTGACTAAATAGGGATTTTGTTTTTTTTTCTTTCTCAGTGGGCAGAGTGGGGGAGGTTAGGAAATAGGAGAGAAAGAAGGTGGATATTCATCTATTGAAAAAAAATTTTGTTTAAAAAATATATTACATTATATTTCTCTTAAAAAGGAAAACAAATGTTCCCTTTGTTTCCAAGAAAACCCAAGAGCCATTGTTCTTTATTAAATCTGACAGGTGACTATTGTGTTTTAAATACAGTGACATTTAAGATTTATGAAGCACTTGTGATTATGGAGGTAAACATTGTGCTGAACTTATAAAATACATTACCACCCTCAAATATTCTGCTCTTACAAAATACTCTATATACAAATATACATACTTTTACAATAGTAATGTCAAAACTGAACTATTAATAAAGTCTTTAGGACAAATAATTAACCAAGTAAGCAATCTGTACTTGTGAATAACATTTAATGAAACTTACATGTTTTTCTAAGGTATCCTGTGCTTTTTCTGGCCACCTTTGGAAATTTATCAGCCAAAGAAGTCATCTCTTAATTGTATCCTCAATATTAGGAGTCCTGATTCCATAGGTATTTAATACCATTAATTTGAGATAATTATGACCACTAATACAACTTATATTGATCTCATCAAATCTAAGACCTAAAAGAAGCAACTTCTACTGATAATCTCTCAAATGTTCTTGCCCTCTCCTGACAGTGGAATTTAGCCACACTACTATCTCTAAATCAGCCCATCCCCAAGAGCAGAGCACATCAATCAACCACCAAGTTCTGTTTTGTTTTTGTTTTTACTTTTTCTTTTCTTTTCTTTTCTTTTTTTTGAGTGCCTTCCAGGTATCCAAAACTGCTGTGGAAGAGAACAAAGATACAAAAGAACTATAAAATATAGTCCCTTGCAACAAAGAACAAAAATGCAACAATGTCCAGCAGATAGGTAGGTAGATTAAAGAAAGTCACAAGCCACAACTTCTGCCAATAGTACCATGGTATTCTTCTTTGGTTATACTGGTAGAAGTAATTAGAGAGGAGAGCAGTTACATGGTGCCATTTATGCCAGGTTCATGGCTAATGTGCATCTAATGAAGACCAGAAGAAATCTCTATTCATCTACAGTCTTGCTAATCTGGATCAAGAGGTCTTGAAACTGAAAATGTAAGAGAATTGGATTGCCTATTGAATAGGATTATTAGATAAAGAAAATTACCCACGTATTCCCACCAAACCAGATACCAAAAAATCCAATGTGAGAAGAAAATCAGTGGAAAGGTCCAATAATTCACATGACATAATAGCTAAGAAGAGCTATAATTAAACTCATAGTCTCAGATGTCTATACACAAATGCACAGAGCACAGGTACTTAATAGGGGAATTAGAAATCTTAATGTAAGAAGATAAGTTTAACCTCATTGTCATCATTGAGGCTTTCTGGAATGTAACTCAAGGCTAGACTTGAGCTAAAAAGGATATAGCTTATTCAAAACAACTAAATAGCAAAAAGTGACAATGGAATAGAATTAAATCAGGAAGGTATATTACTGTGAGGCAATCCACAAATTTAAGTCAAAACATGATAAAGGATCAATAGATGGAGAAAAGCAATTTCAAGGTGAGCATACTAGAGAAGAAGGAAAGAGATGAGTTTGGGAAAGAGATAATAAACCAAACAAGAAGACATGATAACAATGGAAAATTATGCAGTGATCCTAAGCTCCTTCCCGAAACAAAAACCTATCTTTTTTTAAAATAGATTTTTGTTTCTAAATAGCCTAGATTGACCCTTGAATCCTTCCCCCTCATCCTCTCAGAGGATATCTTTTAAAATATTTTTTTAAAGAAAGAAAAAGAGGAAGAGAAAAAATTTCAGTGAAACTGATCAACACATTGAAGAAGTCAGTTAGTCTATCAGTCAACAAGCATCTATTAAATGCTTACTTATGTGCCAGGCGCTGTGCAAAGCACAGAGGATACAAAAAGCACAAAAACTCCTGCATTCCAGGAGCTTATAACCTAAGGGAAGATGAGCAGCAAACAGCTATACAGGATAAATTGGAGATAAACAACAGGTACAAGGTACTGGCATTGAGAAGGATTAGGAAAGGTCTCCTAGAGAAGATGGGATTGTAATTGAAATTTGGAGGATGCCAGAGAATCAAAGATATAGAGAATTTTAGGCATGGGGGACAGCCAGTTGAAAATATCCAGAGTTAAGAAATGGAAAGTTGCATTTGAGGAACAGCAAGGAGGTCAGTGTAACTGGATCACAGAGTATGTAGGGGAAGTATGGCATAAGACTGGAAAGGCAGGAGGAAGTCAGGTTATGAGGGGCTTTAAAAGCCAAATAGAGGCTTTTATATTTGACTCTAGAGGTGGTAGGGGATCATTGACATTTACTGAATGAGAGGATGGTATGATCAGACCTGCACTTTAGGAATATTAATTTGACAGCTGAATGGAGCACAGAGTGGGGAGAAGCTTGAGGCAAGGAAAGCAACCGAAAGGCTATTGAATAGTCCATGTCAGAAGTCATAAGAGCCTGCACCAGGGTGGTGGTGGGGTCAGAGGAGAGAAGGAGATCTAGATGAGATGTTACAAAGATAAAATTACAAGGACTTGGCAAAAAATTGAATATGAGGCTGAAAGGTAGGAATTGAGGATGATGCCTAGATTGCAAGACTGGATGACTGGGAAGATATGGAAGTTAGGAAGATGGAAAGGTTTCAGGGGAAAGAAAGAGTTCAGTTTTGAACATGTTGAATTTAAGATATCTATGGGACATTCAGTTTGAGATGTCTAATGGGTAGCTAGAGATGCAGCTCTACAGGTTAGGAGAGAAGTTAGGGTTGGCCAACTAGACTTATGAATCATCAGCATAGAGATAATAATTGAATCCACAGATGGCATCACTAAGTGAAACAGTAGAAAGGGAGAATAAAAGAGGGCCCAGGACAGAGGCCTGAGGGCAAGGACCTGACCTGGGTAAAGATCCAACAAAGGAGAGTCAGAAATGATAGTCTTGCCACAAAAACCTAGAGAGATGACAATATTAAGGAGAAGAAGGTGACTGATAACGTCAAAGACATAAAGAGAGGTCTAAAAGGATGAAGACTGAGAAAAGGCAGTTAGATTTGGCAATTAAGCAATCATTGGTAACTTTGGAGAGAACAGTTTTCAGCTGAATGAGGTCAGAAGCCAGAATGTAGAAAACTTGACATTATATTCAATAAACCTCATCTTTCCCTTATTCAACTCCCTCAGTGCCCTCTGAAGACATTCATGTTCTAAAGGGACACTTGTTTCTTTATTCTCTGTTAGAATGTTAATATATTATATTATCATATAGCCCTTTTCAAGGTTTACCTTCGGTTTCCTTTGACTTTGTGTTTGCATTCGAAAGTTCCCACACAGCTCTGGTCTTTGCCTCAGAAATAGTTAAAAGTCCTACATTTTCCCCCTTTAGGATTATATCCTTGGTGGCAAGCCTCTATCATTTTTTTCTCTGGAACATTTGTGTTCCAAAATTTCCTCTCATTTTTAGCAGAAGATGCTAGGTAATTTATGATACTGACTGTGGATTTTTGGGTCTTAAAATGCTTCCTTCTGGATGCTTGTACTCTTTTTCCTTTGATGTGAGAACTGATTAATGATAGCTAGCATTTATATAGCACTTCAATATTTATAAAATCCTTCACAATTTTATCTCATTTGATCCTCACAACAACCCAGAGAGGTAGGAGCTATTACTATCCCCATTTTACATTGAGGAAACTGAGGTAAACTAAGGTTAAGTGACTTGCCCAGAAACACACAGCTATTAAGTGCCTGTGGCTGGATTTGAACTCAGGTCTTCCTGCCTCCAGCTCCAGCACTTCATCTACTGCACCACCTAGCTATGACATTCCCGGGACCCTTTTCTTTTTGGGTTTCTTTCGGGAGGTGACAGATATATTCTTTCTATCTTCATTTTGTCTTCTAGTCCTAACAGAACTGGGCAGTTTTCTTTTTTGGTTTCTTTAAATACACTGCTGAGGCTTTTTTTTTTTTTTTGCTCATGGTTTTTAAGGAGTCCAGTGATTCTTAAATTACCTCTTTTTCAACTGGTTTTCTAGGTCAGTTGTGTTTTGGTATCAGGTATCTCACCTTTTCTTTCTTTCTTTTTTTTTTGCCATCTTTTTATTTTGTTCTAACATTTTTTTGCGGTCTCAAAGTTACTGATTTCTTTTTGGTCTATTCTAGTTTTCAAGGAACTTATTTCTTGGGTAAGGTTGACTACTTTCTCTTCTACACTATTTATCCTCCTTCCAGTTCTTTCTTCCAGAATTTTTATTTCATTTTTTTAAACAATCTCTTGCTTCATTTCTTCCACATATTGATTAATTCTTAAGGAAAGATAATTTTTTCCTTTGATTCTCTGCCTGCAGTTATTACAGATTTTACTCTCTCTTTTGGGTGATCTTTAGATTTACAATAATTTTTTTATACTGGTAGATGTTTTCTTTGATTTACTTACCCCTGTTTTAGTTCCTGAATTGGGGTTTCGTTCGAGCACCTGGTTTTACCTCCTACTGTGTTTCTGGGTGGGGTAGTTGGCTTTATTTGGTTTCATCCTGGATCTCACGGATTCCTGTGCTGACCTCCCCCTCTCAAGGTTAGGCCCCTCTATACCTTTGAGTTTCAGAGTACTGGATCTTAAGGGTCTTCTCTAGCATCTCAAGACACAGTATTAGGGACCTAGAGTCCCTGGACCAAGGATATCCTTGTCTGAATGCTGCTACCCCACTGATCACTGCCCATTGCCAAGGTCCTCATCCTGGAGCTTCACAACCACTCTGGGGCTTTCTGAGTAGGCCCTTCACTTTTTCTGCCTCTGGACACAGAACTTTGAAGGCTTTACATGTGTCTTGGGTGCACTGGTAGGCTACACTGTCCTGGCACTGGCTTTGTTGGCTTCTCCCTTTCCTATTACCTTCTGGCTTTTGGGATGACACAGACAAGAATTGTACAGTATGACAAGGTATGATGGATTGCACTCAGGAGAGGTAAAGACCCAAATCAATAAGATCCTGGACTCACTGAAGCACTAAAGCATACTAAGCTTAAGTACTTCCAAAATAAATATAAAATCCAAGTAATTTCTGGCCATCTTACATGTACTCTATCCCTAAACTCATCATCAATGGTACCACATAGATGCTGTCCTCCTAATTACTGCTGTCAACGTAACCAAAGATGAATGGCCCACCATGGCACTACTGGCAGCGTCTACAACTTCTTTTCTTTTCTTTATCTATTTGCTGGGCATTGTACCTTACTGTTTCCTGATGGATGGAATATGTTTTATAGCTCTTTCATATCTCATCTCCCCACATCTGGGAGGCACTCAGTTAAAAAAAAATCATCTGGTCCAGCCCCCTCATTTGCCAGTGAGAAAAATGAAGCCCAGAGAAGTGAAGTGAATGCCTGACCTGGTAAGTCTATCTAACCTTCCAATCATCCAAACACTTCTAAAGCACCTTCTAAAGCACTGTTCTAGACACTGGGGATACGAACCTAAAGAAAGAAACAACCCATCCTTTCAAGTAGCTTCACATGTCTTGACTCTAGAGTCAATGCTATTTCCATTTCACTCAGCTGCCTCCACCCCAAAGAACATCTATTCTAATGAAGGGATATCAGAAGTCACAAAAAATAAATGGCTTATAGGAATTATAAACAAATAAGGGGGAAGGACATTTCTCCTGGTAGAATTCTTTAACCTCTACTGAAACCTTCTTTGGATTGCTCCCCGAGGTGGGGAGACAATCTTGGGTTCATGAAGATTTTGTATGGTAGGTCAAGCTCTTGGGGGCATACCAAGTAAGAAAGGAAAATATGGATCAAGTTGTTTCAGAGTACATATGTTTGTTGTCTAAGGACCAATGGAGCTGAGCTCACAGAGGCTCATCACTCAAAGGTAAGTCATCAAGTAATCAATACTTTATGGCTACAGCAACTCATGAAAACCACCTACTAAGAGGCTGCCATATGTAAAAGGAGCACTCAGGTCAATGAAATCAGAAAGTTTAAGTATCAAATAAGAAACAAATTATAAAGTTTTCCACATAGTATTTTGGCAGTTCAGAAGTAACAAAAATGGGGGCAGCTAGGTGGTGCAGTGGATAGAGCACAGGCCCTGAAGTCAGGAGGACCTGAGTTCAAATCCGACCTCAGACCAAATACTAGACACTTACTAGCTGTGTGACCCTGGGCAAGTCACTTAACCCCAATTGCCTTAAAAAAAAGAAAAGAAAAGAAAAAAAATGCTCTGAAGATATACCTGCTCAAAAGATAACATATGGAAATATCTGTGGCTTCTTGAAAAGTTCCATCTGGATCTGTTTTGCTTGACTAGAGTATACTTTTTGTTACAAGGAAGGACTTTTATTTTATGACAAAGGGAATTGAGTGAGTCAAGTGGATGGGTAGCTATAATTCTATTAAAAAAAAAGAAAAGAAAAAATCACAGAAAGCATTAATACACAGAAGTGAACAGAAAGAAGCAAGTTCAGAAGAGGATACAGGCAAGCAAGGCAGTTTTGGTACTATTATATTAGATTTAATATATAATTTGAAAAGAAACTGTACATAAAAAAATTCAGTTTCACATGCAATTCTCTTTCCATTCTTTGTATATTGAAATGTTTGCATTAACAGAGACTCAATTTTTTTAAAAGTTCCATGTGTCAATGTAGACAGTCCCTATATTTTTGGAATGAGTTTTTATTTCTCCTTTCTTCAATTATATTACCATAGTTCCTACATAGAGAGTGAAATCTATACTATTAAGAAACAGGATTTCTGATTTCCTGTGCAATTTATAATCTAAAAGAAATAATATACTCACTTTGTAACTCCATAGTCAATTCCTATTGTTGCTAGGTATTTGGGCACAAATCTCTTCTCACAATAACGTTTTATAATACAGCTCTAAAAATAATAAAATACAAACACGTAGTAAATATATACAAACACATACATAAAAGTATAAAAATCAAAATTCATTATTATGTTCTAAAAAAGAAGTTGATCTTAAAAAGGCAACAATAAAAACATGAAGCAATCAAGAAATAAAGTGCTTACAAGAAGAATGTTAAAGAATAACTAAAAAGAGCTTCTTTCCTGAATAGTGTGAAAAAGACTTTTTTCCTAGAAAACTGGAATGTATAACCAAGAAAAAAGGGTAAATGTCTAGAAAACAAACTTCCACAATATAAAGATTTACAGTGGGATGATAAAGGGACATCTCATTTACATACAAGTGATTCAAAGTTCCCATAGCACTTAACTTATTTAATACTCTATTTCCCAAAGGATGAAGTTTATGAAATTGAACATAGTAATATAAAAATCAATTAAAATTAATTGAAAATACAAACCAGAACAAAACCAATTCAAGGGGGCAGAGAAATCAATTTTTACCAGGCACCTAGGATAAGTTCATTACAGTAGCTGAGCACTGAAATTACCTGTAAGTTTCCTGACAACTAAGACAGAAAAGGAAACATGATGAGTTACACAGTTCTTACTGTTTGATAAAAGAAATCATCAAGTTTGTCTGAAGAGAGAAACTTTTTCCTGCCACTAAACTCAAGAAAAAAATTATTATATAGGAGACAGTGGCTGACAGAATGCAGAATGTCTTCAATTACAGTTTTACAAAATATACCTAAATACTGTTTATATGTGGGCATATCTTACAGCTGCCTTCTAAAAAAATTGAATTATAATATTTAATCTTAATTCAGTGAAAACACATCTTCAGGGAGTTGAGATCATACAGTCTTAACATATGTGGCAATTAGAAAATTCAGAACGGTTTCTACCTTCACATCTATATTTTACCACAACCAGAAACTTTTCCACCTCTGTGATTTCAGAAATTTTCCTAAATACAATCTTCATTTATTGTCATCTTTCCCTCAGCCTTACTTTTGTTAAATATAGCGTTCATTACCAAAATCCAAACTTTTCCTCTAGCTTTCTTTCTCAGTTCTCTCAGGCCATCATACCTGTTCTGGACTTTCTCTTCTTTGCAGTCTTGGCCCTACAGTTAACCAGCTAACTATTAGTCTCTTTCAAATATCCGATGTCTTTAACAAACCTCTCGAAAGTGTTGGTTTGCAATTAATTCATGGTTGAATGCTGTCCAGAACTAATGGCCTCCATCACCAAATGACCATCTGGGTCACCATCACCACCAACCCTCCTGTGTCCTGCTTCAAGCAACTGTTAACCCAAATCAACAGATATTTCCCCAGTCTTACAGCTAGCAAACTCCTACATCCTGCACTCCTAATCTGAACTATTCACTGCCCCCATCTACTAAGGTGAAGAAAACCCCTTTCCCCAACCTTTCCTCAGATTCATTCCCATCCAGCTCAGACCTCTTCCTCCCCAATCCTTATCCTCTGCTTTCTGCCCATTCCACTATGCCTTCTAAAAGCATTATTCTATCGTGAGCCAATTCCTTTTCATCCTAGATTTTTTTTCTTCTTACATTCTATCTTCTGGTATTCATAAAAGCCTAAGTTACAATTTTCCCATCTATAAAATGAAGAAAATAATACTAATACTACCTATCTTACAAGGTTGTTTTGAGGATTAAATATTTTATACACACATAAACACATATGTAAATATTTTGTAACCTTACAGCTGTAGAAATGTAAGCTATTGTTAGGGTTGAGTTTTTCATTTTAAACATATTAATTAATTCCAAATAAATAAGTAAAAGTTTTTTACTGTTAAAGGTGCTTAATTATTAATGCGTTTTTTTTAATCCTTTATGTGTGTTGTTTTTTTTAAATAAAGAGAATACTCAAAAAAGCTTTTACTGACAAAGCTAGGACTGGGAAAGGGAGAAGAAGCTAGCTTTGTGACAAGGATGGGGAATAGGAGAAGCAAGGCACTGCTTACTTATAGAGTAATTAGATATAATTTTATATATAAACCACTGTCCCCAGCTACTCTGGAACGAACCATCCTTCCCACCCTCTCCTCCTAAACAGAAGCCCAAAAACTTAGACACCTCTGTGGCACAAGACTGAAAAAACTCTTTTAAGAATTAAAGTTCATGGTACCCAAACCCATAGACTCTAAGGGACATTATGTTTTTATCTCTCCTTACCTTTATATTGCTTATCTTAGCACAGTGACTTCCAAAAGGGTGCCACAATCAGAAATAATAACAATCAGCAAGGACTGAAGCTTACCCAAGATACAACAAAAGATTTATTTTTCACTGAATTTGTTTGGCTAAGTGCTAGTATTCACATGTAATGCTTAAATTTTACCTGATGTAGAAGATAAAATCTGGGGGTGAGGGGTGGTAGGAGTGTTTATCTTGAGAGGGTTCTATTTAAGCTTTTAGAGCTCTAAGACTCTTAGGTTAATGTTTCCACCGAGTTACATGTAGCCATGTATGACATAAAATACTTCTTGTTTCTGTCTGTTTTCAAAATTATGAAGTAAACAAAGACTGCATTTGGAGCCCCCATATTCCTTTTTTGTTTTTGTTTTTCCTCAGTTAAACTCTCTACTTCAAATATCTCTCCTGTTCCTATCATCCAATGTCTTCCTGCTACTTAATGGTGCTATCCTATCAAAAAGGAAAGGACCATTCATACTGATTCTCCCAAGCTTACCTACATTCTCAGAGAAACACATAATGTTGGAACTAGAAGGGAGCTTAAATGTCATCTTCTCCTGATGCAAAATTACAGTGACCAGAAATAACAGCTAAGATGGTGGAGTAAGAGGAAGCAATACAGCTCAAGTCCCCCCACAACTCCAACAATCTAAGAACACTAGACCAAGTAGTAATTGTGAAATCAAAGGAAAAACTACAATGGGTCATCTTTCTACCCCCAAGATCACAAACTCAACTTACAAAATTCAAGTTACAACATTTGAAAAATTCAATTTTTAAGAAAGTGACCAGGGCAAGAACTACACAACAAGGGCCACTAGGATCATGGACACCCAGAGTTCTGAACTAGGCCAATGGCAGGCATGGAGATGACTAGAACTGATGTCAAACCCAGTTCCCACCCAACCCCTCCCCCACTTCTAGCTCAGTGCCTGAAGCATTAACTCAGCTCCTAGAGCCAATTGTGGACCCCATCTAGAAGAGCCTCATCCTCTAGAGCTCCCAACCAGGCCAGCAATGCCATATTGCCCAGAGCAGATTGCTAAATGACAAAATAAAATAAAATAAAATAAAAATATATATTTTTTAATCTTAAAAGAAATATGTCCAGATCTCTTAGAACCACAGGACAAAATAAAAATAGAAAAAATCCACTGGTCATGTCCTAAAATAAACTCCAAAAGAAAACTCCCAGGAAAGTCATAGCCAAAATCCACAGCTTCCACGTAAGAGGAAAAATACTGTAAGCATCCAGAAAGAACCAAGGAATGACAGTCAGGATCCCACAAGATTTAACGGTTATCACTATAAAGGAGGGGGGAAGATGGATTATGATATTCTAAAAGGCAAAGGATATAGGCCAACAACCAAGAATAACTTATCCTGCAAAACTGAGGATAATCCTGGCAGGGGGGAGCAGTAAATGGACTTTTAATAAAACACCTTCATGATGGAAACCCTTCATGATGGAAAGACTGGAGCTAATTATAAACTATCAACTACAAAGTAAAAAGAAGTAAGAAGTAAAGAGAAATATAAAAAGACAAAGCAAGTAACAATAATGATAATAATAAGCAAGCAATCAGAAAAGACTTTAAAAGAATAAAGTGGTTGAATTCTAATGGGGGGGAAGGTGTGATACAAGCATCCACTAAGAACAGTGATGTCATCAGGGGTCACAGAGTCAAAAAAGATGGTGGGCCTGAAAGTGGTTTCTGTTAGGATCTGAAGATCGTAAATGAAAAAAAGAAAAGGGAGGGGATGAAAGGAAGGAAGGACACACTAGGGAAGAAATGGGGAATAGATGAATAACATTATCTCTCATAACTGAGGAGAGCATAGAAGTGAATACCACTTGCTGGGGGGGAAAGGCATCACTTGAACCTAATTTTGAACGGATACAAAGTGAAGTAAGCAAAACCAACATAATTTATACTATAACAACATTATAAAAATGAACAATTTTGAAAGATTTAAGAATTCTGATCAATGCAATGATCAGTCACAATTACAGAGAGCTGATGATTTAGAATGCTACCTCCTTCAGGATAGGAAGGTGATGTAATTTTGGACAAGGTCAATGTGAGAATGTGTTTTTCCTGATTACGCATATTTGTTGCAGGGGCTTTTTTTTCCTTTTGGAGGTTTGAGGGGGCCAGAGGAAGGCAGATGTTAATTGAAAAAAATTAATTTAAAACTTATAATGACCAAGTTTTGCCCCAAAGAAGAACTATGGGAAGACATTTCCTCTCCTTTTTAGAGGTGGGAGACCATATGTAAACACTACAGATAATATCAGATTTTTTTCAATATGTTGGTTAGTTTTACTTAACTTTTTTCTTTCCTTTTTTCCTTCTTTATTATAAGAAGGGACTTTCTGGGAGGGATTGGGGAATGATACAGTGGAAAATAGTAGGTAATATAAAAACAAAAGAAAAGAAATCATATGGTTCAAGACCATTATTTAACTGAGGCCCAGAGAGGTAAAGTGATTTGCCCATGGTTATACAGCCAGTTCCTAACAAAACTGGGAAGAAGATCAAGGCCTCTTTAATCCTGGTCAGTGTCCACTTTATAATCACTAATTAGGGGCAAGAGGCAAGCACAAACAAACATTTGAGACTGGCCTCTAGGAAACCTAGTTTAACTGGTTTAGAATAGCTGTAAGGAGCAACAAAGTCAGAAGAGGTCATCTCTTATCAGTGATCTCCCAATTACCAAATCTGATGACTGTTTTTTAGTCCTTATCCTTCTTGACTTCTATATAGCATTTTGACCA